GAGTGTAGTGTTAGATGGAAGAGTATTTGATTATTTATTTTTTCAAGCAAAGTATAAGGGAGTTGTACTCCAGTCAAGTAGGTGGCGGTAATGCAATATTTATTGGATGCCAACCGCCGTTAAATCTCATCGAAGAAGAGGCCGTAATAGGTGGCTAAACACGAGAAGCGACAAACCGATATATTGTCAAACTTTGATTCTCAAAAATAGTATATTTGAGAAGAATCTAGTTATCCATAGCTAGCTAGATAACTCTGCATTGGATATTGTTGGTGAGTTTTTAAGCATCGCGTTGTTGTTGTAAAGACTTCCACCTGGCGCCATTTAATTGTGTTGTCAATTCGGTACAAAACATACATTTGAAGAGGAACGGATTGTGTTGTCGGTTTTGTGTTACGCACAAACCTTGAAATAGTTTCTGTCCACACACCGTAAACGTATCCCTGAATAGTTTGATAGCTAGCTAACGTAATTATTTTGTTCATATTTAATAGTGTGCTGCAAGCTAACGTTGTCGTTAGCTAGCCACCACCTCTTCCATTTCCAATGCTAGTACTGTAATGGCTTGTTAACATCAAGTTGTTAGTTCACTTTGGGCTTAGATTCCCCCGAACAAGATACTCGTTGGGTCATGAAACTATTGAAGTTCCTCAACTTGGATAACGACCAAGCCAGCTTATCAGTCGAGCACTGCCCACCAGGATCTGTAAATTAAGATGGCTAATTAACATTAGCTGGTTAACTAGCATATCAACCTCTTGTGCCGTTAGCTCGCTAACGTTACCTTTACAAGAAATTCTGACCCCAGAGCTGGTACAGTTATCTAGCTAGCTATCTTTGTAGCTAATACTTTAGGTAACGTTAGCTTACTAACTAACGTTACCGCCAGGAGAATGACTGACTGGGCATAATGACAGTGGTAATCAATTAGCTAGCTAGAAGTTGATGCCAGTTAGCTAGCTCCCAACCACGCTGGCTTTGCACCCCCATCTCAGTTAGTTATATTTTGGACCCAATCTAGGCGTACAAATAACGTTTTTGAATTGAATAGTTGCCCTCACTAGGCAGCTTGTTACTTTTGTCAATTAAACTGCTTGTATAGCATACTTTTGGACATAAGTGGAAGTTGTCAATTGTCCAAATCCAACAAGAGACAATTGCTCACTGTATATTTCTTCCCTAGTCTGTGCTGGTTGTAATGAGCTGTCGTTATCCACAAAATGAAATTATTTTTTACTTTGGACACATCTAGGGGATATTGTGATGAATTAGGCCTATTAAGAATGAGACAATTTTGCCACCTGTACCCTATTTGAAATTAGTGTGGTCTAATATTGTGATTTTTTTTTTAGTTTACAGATAAAAACTGTTCTGTTTGTTTTAAAGCCACAGTCTGTAAAATGCTCATTGGTCATTTCAATTTACATGTGAAAATGTCATGAATTGCACATTAGCCTGGTGATCCAGGAGATTTCACTTAAGGACTAATGAAATGGTCTAAAATGTGCAAACTCTGCCCACCCGGGGCACCAGGCCATGCAAAACGAAGTGCCTAGTGTGGCTTCTAGTTGTGTAGAATGTGTTGTGTCCATGGCTGGTGTTTTTACTTTATGAAAAGCTAGCAATATGCCTATGCTGTGCGTAAAAGACAGAGGGTGTCCGGGAGTGTGTTTTCTTTGACATTGAGATGTCCGCAAATGTGTGTACAGTGCTGAATGTCGTTGCTGTAGTAGGCATATTTATTAGGCTAATTACTGAGTTAGTGTGGAAGGAGGGGTGCGCAAAGCTCACTCAGATACTGCTTACATGCAGCATACATGAAGGTCATGGTGCAATACAATAAAAAGTGATGCATCATTTTCCAGGAAGTTGGCTTGTAGGCTTTTTGAATGGCCTTCAATGGGAAAAATGTAGCGCATTGTTCTTCAGCACAAAAACGTAATAAAAGGCATTTGGCAGTAGTAAATTCATTCACAAACATAAATATAGTTTTAAATGGGTCGTGTGGTGTAAAAAAATTTAAACATAAGAAAAAATACTAAAGCCAGGTAGAAAGTAATTAGTGGTCCTCTGTAGCTCAATTGGTTGAGCATGGTGCTTGTAACGCCAGGGTAGTGGGTTTGATTCCCGGGACCACCCATACGTAAAAATGTATGCACACATGACTAAGTCGCTTTGGATAAAAGCATCTGCTAAATGGCATATTATATTATTTATATTATTACATTTAATCTCTGAACTATTTTTCTTCAATCACAGTTAGAACCTATTAGCAGCGCTATTTATTGAATTTGGTTGATTTTGTGGTCTGAAACCAGTGAGCTTATTACCATTAGTCATCACGAATATTGGCAAAATTGAATTATTGTAGGCTATAAAAATATAATTAATGACAATGAAAAAGGTAGGAGTGTTGTTCTCTTGTCATATAATTGCTACATTTACTATCAATATAGCGTTAAAAATAGATATCCAGGTTGCATTTTGGGAGAATGTTTCTTTTTCTCCATGCGTATATTGGGTTGCGACTGAGACAACCTGGTTCAATTTAGTTCGAGGCAAAACCAGTTGAGAACCACTTTCTTAAATGACCGCATTTTCACGAGTTTGATGATACAATTGGCAAGCCAATTCAAAAGATTAGGGGACAGGAACCGGAAGTATGACGTAGGATGACGTCACTTGTATAGCGTAGACTGACTGTTGCTTTCCTGTTTGGAATTGTGCTCATGGCAGGCCTTCTATACACCTAGGTTCACCATAGGTTCAATGTACAGTTGAATATGCTTGTGCACGATTGTCAAATCAAATAATTGTATTTGTCACATGCTTCGTAGACAACCGGTGTAAACTCATAGTAAAATGCTTACTTACGTGACCTTTTCCAACAATGCAGAGTTAAAGATAAGATACATTTTTGTAATAATGGGCACAGTGAATAATGAATAAAAATAAAGAGTAAAAATAACATGGCTACAGTGCATTCAGAAAGTATTCAGACCCCTTGACGTTTCCCACATTTTGTTACGTTACAGCCTTATTCTAAAATGGATTAAATTGTTTTTTCCCCCTCATCAATCTACACACAATACCTGATAATGACAAAGCAAAAAAACGGAAATATCACATTTACATAAGTATTCAGACCCTTTACTCAGTACTTTGTTGAAGCACCTTTGGCAGCGATTACAGCCTCAAGTCTTCTTGGGTATGACGCTACAAGCTTGGCACACCTGTATTTGGGGAGTTTCTCCCATTCTTCTCTGCAGATCCTCTCAAGCTCTGTCAGGTTGGACGGGGAGTGTCGCTGCACAGCTATTTTCAGGTCTCTCCAGAGATGTTCGATCGGGTTCAAGTTCAGCCTCTGGCTGGGCCACTCAAGGACATTCAGAGACTTGTCCTGAAGCCACTCCTGCATTGTCGGCTGTGTGCTTAGGGTCGTTGTGCTGTTGGAAGGTGAACCTTCGCCCCAGCCTGAGGTCCTGAGCGCTCCGGCCATCTTTCCCTCGATCCTGACTAGTCTACCAGTCCCTGCCGCTGAAAAACATCCCCACAGCATGATGCTGCCACCACCATGCTTCACCGTAAGCATGGTGCCTGGTTTCCTCCAGACGTGACGTTTGGCATTCAGGCCAAAGAGTTCGATATTGGTTTAATCAGACCAGAGAATCTTGTTTCTCATGGTCTGAGAGGTGCCTTTTGGCAAACTCCAAGCGGGCTGTCATGTGCCTTTCACTGAGGAATGGCTTCCGTCTGGCCGCTCTACCATAAAGGCCTGATTTGGTGGAGTGCTGCAGAGATGGTTGTCCTTCTGGAAGATTCTCCCATCTCCACAGAGGAACTCTGGATCTCTGTCAGACTGACCATCGGGTCACCTACCTGACCAAGGCCCTTCTACCCCGATTGCTCAGTTTGGCCGGGCGGCCAGCTCCAGGAAGAGTCTTGGTGATTCCATTTAAGGAGGCCACTGTGTTCTTGGGGCCTTTCAATGCTGCAGACATTTTTTGGTACCCTTCCCCAGATCTGTGCCTCGACACAATCCTGTCTCGGCGCTCTTATGACTGAAGCCATGCTCTTTTGTTTAAGTTTTCCCTGTCTTTTGTTATGAGTGATGGGCATAGACCATTTGGAAACCTGTTGCAACAACACTTTTGCCGCTCATTATTTTAGACTTGCCAATATTTGTAAGCTCACCCATCACTAATCTAAATGAATAATTGTATGCTGGCCATAGACTCCTCTGAACTGATACATGTCAAGCAAGTATATTTTCTCTCTATAATCACATGGGCAACTTCTACCAATTAGGTCTATCACTGCTGCTCCAGGGTCAGATGGTTTTTGTTGACCTAAAAAGGACTGCAGATGTAAATAAGCTGTTAGCTAAATATTGTGCAACGCATCACTTCTCACTTCTGAGATTTTGTTTTTTGTTGTACATTGTCCCTGTACAAATAAACGTAATAAATAAATAAAATATATTTGGGGTTGGGTAAGCTGATCATAGATCTGTATAGTACTCTGATCACTACCCACTTGTGGTGTATGTTCTCAGTTTCTGCTGTGCCTAGTGTGCCTGCTCAGTCAGGGGATGGCGTCATGTCTTATTGTTTTTTTGAAAAGACAAAACTCTGCAATTAGACTGTGTCTACTTATGAGTTGACTGTTCGGAGAAATGATTGTGGGTGTTTTGTGGTGATATTGATTCTTTGTAGAGAAATGTTGCAAAGTCAATCCCTAATCAGTTATGTGGGCCGACGCTGAAATTTTCATCTGTGGTTACAGCATAATTAATCTCCTAAATAGTGGCTGCAAACACAAACCTGTATGACCCAGTTAGATGAGTTGGCTTTTGTGCTTTAGTAGCCAAGTATTTTGTGAAAATGCTGCTTTGCGTTTTGTTATCTCTATTTATGATATTACTTTTCAACCATCCAATCCAACGCCTCTCACCACCCTCTTCCATCTCTCCGCAGGTTTAGCGGAGCAGCAGAGTCACCATGGCGACGGACATCATCTCCCCGCCACGGTTCTTCCACATGCCACGGTTCCAGCACCAGGCGCCGCGGCAGCTCTTTTACAAGCGGCCCGACTTCGCCCAGCAGCAGGCCATGCAGCAGCTCACCTTCGACGGCAAGCGCATGCGGAAGTCTGTCAACCGCAAGACCATTGACTACAACCCCTCGGTCATCAGGCATCTAGAGGTAATGGACGTGACATGAAGCATCTGTTTTTGGGTTATTTTGTGACCTACTCAGTGAACTAAATGTTTCTAGGCACCAAAACTCAGTCAGTAGTCGTGTTTCTAGAGAAACTCGACTTTGGGCACAAACACGCACACATCCTTCAGATAGCTTGACATATTGAAACAGTTTCAAATATCCACGCTCAGACATGACCATGAGCTCAGAGACGCTGTTCTTGAGCACTTACTCCCATGTAAACTCAGCAAAAAAAGAAACTACCCTTTTTCAGGACCCTGTCTTTCAAAGATGATAATTGTAAAAATCCAAATAACTTCACAGATCTTCATTGTAAAGGGTTTAAACACTGTTTCCCATGCTTGTTCAATTAACCATAAACAATTATTGAACATGCACCTGTGGAACGGTCGTTAAGACACTAACAGCTTACAGACGGTAGGCAATTAAGGTCACAGTTATGAAAACTTAGGACACTGAAGAGGCCTTTCTACTGACTCTGAAAAACACAAAAAGAAAGATGCCCAGGGTCCCTGCTCATCTGCGTGAACGTGCCTTAGGCATGCTGCAAGGAGGCATGAGGACTGCAGATGTGGCCAGGGCAATACATTGCAATGTCCTTACTGTGAGAAACCTAAGACAGCGATACAGGGAGACAGGATGGACAGCTGATCGTCCTCGCAGTGGCAGACCACGTGTAACAATACCTGCACAGGATCGGTACATCTGAACATCACACCTGCGGGACAGGTACAGGATGGCAACAACAACTGCCCGAGTTACACCAGGAACGCACAATCCCTCCATCAGTGCTCAGACTGTCCGCAATAGGCTGAGAGAGCCCGGACTTAGGGCTTGTAGGCCTGTTGTAAGGCATGTCCTCACCAGACATCACCGGCAACAATGTCGCCTATGGGCACAAACCCAGACAGGACTGGCAAAAAGTGCTCTTCACTGACGAGTCGCGGTTTTGTCTCACCAGGGGTGATGGTCGGATTCGCAATTATCGTCGAAGGAATGAGCATTACACCGAGGCCTGTACTCTGGAGCGGGATCGATTTGGAGGTGGAATGTCCGTCATGGTCTGGGGCGGTGTGTCACAGCATCATCGGACTGAGCTTGTTGTCATTGCAGGCAATCTCAACGCTGTGCATTACAGGGAAGACATCCTCCTCCCTCATGTGGTACCCTTCCTGCAGGCTCATCCTGACATGACCCTCCAGCATGACAATGCCACCAGCCATACTGCTCGTTCTGTGCGTGATTTCCTTCAAGACAGGAATGTCAGTGTTCTGCCATGGCCAGCAAAGAGCCCGGATCTCAATCCCATTGAGCACGTCTGGGACCTGTTGGATCGGAGGGTGAGGGCTAGGGCCATTCCCCCCAGAAATGTCCGGGAACTTGCAGGTGCCTTGGTGGAAGAGTGGGGTAACATCTCACAGCAAGAACTGGCAGCCTTACCGCAAAAGTGGAAGAGGAAAGTGAAAGGGGGAGAAAGTAAGGAACTTGTCTGTCGGCCTTGCATTAAAGAACATAATTGGTTAAGGAAAACTGTGATAAATAAAAAAAAGTATATCAGTTTCACTTAAGGACCAAAGGATTGACAGCCGTCCCATATAGATTGCAAAATTGCAGAATCATTAGATCATTTGTTTTGGTTCTGTCCATTTGTAGCTTGTTTTTGGACACAGGTCCAGGATTGGCTAAAGGATTGCAATATTTACCTGGAGCTATCCTTGCAGATAGCATTACTGGGTGATCTGAAAAGTCATAGTCAATCGATCAATAATATAATACTTTTAGCAAAAATGTTTTTTAAATTCACAATCTGTAGAAGCAATGAGAATAGAAAGGTTCAGAACTTTTGTAAAACATCACAGTACGGTTGAAATATATATGGCAAATAGAAATCCTATATGGATGGTGTTAAGAGATAGATGGGAGGTATTGAATGGAGTTGAAGGATGGGACTAATAACAAATAACAACTAATAATGTAAGCATACTGTGTCCATAATAAGTATATGGGTTGTATGTTGGGAGCTTTTGGGAAAGAGCACAGTTAGAAAGATATGGCATATAGAAGCAAACCGGATGGACATCATGAAAATGATCGGAGAGGTTGAGAGTAGAAGTAGTTCAGGAGCAAAAACAAATAAAATAGAATTATTGTAAAATTGACTGTGTCCATAAGGTGTAGATAGTAAGTATAGGCTGGAAGTAGAGGCCTGGGCATTGTTGTTCACTAATTTACCCCAAGTAGGGAAAGGATGGCGGGGTTGAAAAGTAATAAAGGGGAGTGTGTATATATATATATATATATAAAAAACATGGGGGATTGGAAGTGATGTAGACAATTACATTGATGGAAGTTACAATCTATCTGCAAAATTAAGCTGATCTACCCCCCAAAAAAATACAAAATAAAAAATAACTGGCAAATCTGGTGCAGTCCATGAGGAGGAGATGCATTGCAATACTTAATGCAGCTGGTGGCCACACCAGATACTTACTGACTGACTTTTGATTTTGACCCCCCCTCCCCTTTGTTCAGGGACACATTATTCCATTTATGTTAGTCACATGTCTGTGGAACTTGTTCAGTTTGTCTCAGTTGTTGAATCTTGTTATGTTCATACAAATATTTACACATGTTAAGTTTGCTGAAAATAAACGCAGTTGACAGTGAGATGACGTACATTTTTTTTGCTAAGTTTATATGTATTTGGCTGGAATGTATGTGAATCCAAAGACCTTTGGTTCCTTAAATGTTCTCTTCCTTGACTACAGAATCGTTTGTGGCAGCGAGACCACAGAGATTTACGTGCCATCCAACCAGATGCAGGATGTTACAATGATGTAAGTATGGGCAGATTGTAAGATTTAGTAAAATTTTTGACCTTCTGGTGTCAGTAATCTAATAAGAAAACATGTTATCAATGAATCTGTGTCAGAGTGTTAGCGAGTCCCTATTGCTGGCAGGATTTGATTAATTGTGTACCCATTGTTAGATAAGATGTTGACATTTCTCTCTCCTTTTCCATCCCTATCTTTCTCTGGCTCTTGTAGCTTGTTCCTCCTGTGGGCATTGTGAGTTATCCCATGAACGCAGTCACCACAAAGTTTGTTCGAACCTCCACGAACAAAGTCAAGTGCCCTGTCTTTGTCATAAGGGTAAGTCTCTCCTCTCACACACTTTCCGCACCTGTTCAAGGCAGACTATTTTATCCCTCTGAGACTGTGAAGCCCAAAGTGCAGGTATGTCAAGTTATATTCCTGCTGGGTTTTGTTATTTCCTTCCAATTAGTGTCCAGTTAACACCTAGACAACCAGGTGAGGGGATGATCTTAGTTGATCAATCAAGTACAACGGAGGAGCGAAAATCCACACATTTGGCCCACCAGGAATTGAGTTTGACACCCCTGCCATAGAGATGTAGCTCAGTTGGTAGAGCATGGCGTTTGCAACGCCAGGGTTGTGGGTTCGCTTTCCACGGGGGGCCAGTATGAAAAATAATAATAATAATGTATGCACTCACTAACTGTAAGTCGCTCTGGATAAGAGTGTCTGCTAAATGACTAAAATGTAAAATGTGAATGTAATGAATGAGTAGTACACATTTTCTGCATAATATTCACTACATGACCAAAGGTATGTGGACACCTGCTCATCGAACATCTCATTCTAAAATCATGGGCATTAATATGGAGATGGTCCCCTCTTTGCTGCTATAACAGCCTCCACTCTTCTGGGAAGGCTTTCCACTAGATGTTGGAACATTGCTGCTGGGATTTGCTTCCATTTAGCCACAAAAGCATTAGTGAGGTCGGGCACTGATGTTGGGCGATTAGGCCTGGCTCAGGGTCGGCTTTCCAATTCATCCCAAAGGTGTTCGATGGGGATTAGGTCAGGGCTCTGTGCAGGCCAGTCAAGTTCTTCCACACCGATCTTGACAAACCATTTCTGTATGGACCTCGCTTTGTGTGCGGGGGCATTGTCATGCTGAAACAGGAAAGGGCCTTCCCCAAACTGTTGCCACAAAGTTGGAAGCGCAGAATCGTCTAGAATGTCATTGTATGCTCCTAGATGTTTCCACTTCACAATAACAGCAGTTACAGTTGACCGGGGCAGCTCTAGCAGGGAAGAGATTTTACGAACTGACTTGTTGGAAAGGTGGCATCCTATGACGGTGCCACGATAAAAGTCACTGAGCTCTTCAGTAAGGCCATTCTACTGCCAATGTTTGTCAATGGAGAATGGCTGTGTGCTCGATTTTATACACCTGTCAGCAACGAGTGCCGCTGAAATGGATGAATTCACTCATTTGAAGTGATGTCCACATACTTTTGTACATTGCATGCGGAAAGTATTCAGACCCCTTTACTTATTTTTTGTTACATTACAGCCTTATTCTAAAATAATGAAAAAAAAATATAATAATAATCTACACACAGGTGCATCCTGTTTCCATTGATCATCCTTGATGTTTCTACAACTTGATTGGGGTCCACCTGTGGTAAATTCAATTGATTGGACATGATTTGGAAAGGCACACACCTGTCTATATAAGGTTCCACAGTTGACAGTGCATGTCAGAGCAAAAACTAAGCCATGCGGTCAAAGGAATTGTCCGTAGAGCTCCGAGACAGGATTGTGTCGAGGACAGATCTGGGGAAGGGTTCCAAAAAATGTCTGCAGCATTGAAGGTCCCCAAGAACACAGTGGCCTCCATCATTCTTAAATGGAAGAAGTTTGGAACCACCAAGACTCTTCCTAGAGCTGGCCGCCCGGCCAAACTGAGCAATCGGGGGAGAAGGGCCTTGGTCAGGGAGGTGACCAAGAACCTGATGGTCACTCTGACAGAGCTCCAGAGTTCCTCTGGAGATGGGAGAACCTTCCAGAAGGACAACCATCTCTGCAGCGCTCCACCAATCAGGCCTTTATGGTAGAGTGACCAGATGGAAACAACTCCTTAGTAAAAGGCACATGGCAACCCGCTTGGAGTTTGCCAAAAGGCACCTAAAGGACTCTGAGTCTATGAGAAACAAGATTCCCTGGTCTGATGGAACCTAGATTTAACTTTTTTACCTGAATGCCAAGCATCACGTCTGGAGGAAACCAGGCACCGCTCATCACCTGGCCAATACCTGGATCTCAGACTGGGGCGAAGGTTCACCTTCCAACAGGACAACGACCCTAAGCACACAGCCAAGACAATGCAGGAGTGGCTTTGGGAAAAGTCTCTGAATATCCTTGAGTGGCCCAGCCAGAGCCTGGGCCATCGAACTTCTCTAGAGAGACCTGAAAATGACTGTGCAGCGACACTCTCCATCCAACCTGAAAGAGCTTCAGAGGATCTGCAGAGAAGAACTCCCCAAATAAAGGTGTGCCAAGCTTGTAGTGTCATACCCAAGAAGACTCGAGGCTGTAATCTCTGCCAATGGTGCTTCAACAAAGTACTGAGTAAAGGGTTTGAATACTTATGTAAATGTACCAAAAATTGATTCTTATTTCTTGAAAACATTTCTAAAAAATGTTTTTTGCTTTGTCATTATGGGGTATTGTGTGTAGATTGATGAGAAAAAAAAACAATTTAATCAATTTTAGAATAAGGCTGTAACTTAACTAAATGTGGAAATAGTGAAGGGGTCTGAATACTTTCCGAATGCACTGTGTGTGTATATATATATATATATATATATATATACACACACACACACACACAGTGAGGGGAAAAAAGTATTTGATCCCCTGCTGATTTTGTACGTTTGCCCACTGACAAAGAAATGATCAGTCTATAATTTTAATGGTAGGTATATTTGAACAGTGAGAGACAGAATAACAACAAAAAAATCCAGAAAAACGCATGTCAAAAATGTTATAAATTTATTTGCATTTTAATGAGGGATATAAGTATTTGACCCCTCTGCAAAACATGACTTAGTACTTGGTGGCAAAACCCTTGTTGGCAATCACAGAGGTCAGACGTTTCTTGTAGTTGGCCACCAGGTTTGCACACATCTCAGGAGGGATTTTGTCCCACTCCTCTTTGCAGATCTTCTCCAAGTCATTAAGGTTTCGAGGCTGACGTTTGGCAACTCGAACCTTCAGCTCCCTCCACAGATTTTCTATGGGATTAAGGTCTGGAGACTGGCTAGGCCACTCCAGGACCTTAATATGCTTCTTCTTCAGCCACTCCTTTGTTGCCTTGGCCGTGTGTTTTGGATCATTGTCATGCTGGAAACCCATCCACGACCCATTTTCAATGCCCTGGCTGAGGGAAGGAGGTTCTCACCCAAGATTTGATGGTACATGGCCCCGTCCGTCGTCCCTTTGATGCGGTGAAGTTGTCCTGTCCCCTTAGCAGAAAAACACCCCCAAAGCATAATGTTTCCACCTCCATGTTTTACGGTGGGGATGGTGTTTTTGGGGTCATAGGCAGCATTCCTCCTCCTCCAAACACGGCGAGTTGAGTTGATGCCAAAGACCTTGATTTTTCACCCAGTTCTTCTCTGAATCATTCAGATGTTCATTGGCAAACTTCAGACGGGCCTGTATATCTGCTTTCTTGAGCAGGGGGACCTTGCGGGCGCTGCGGGATTTCAGTCCTTCATGGCGTAGTGTGTTACCAATTGTTTTCTTGGTGACTATGGTCCCAGCTGCCTTGAGATCATTGACAAGATCCTCCCGTGTAGTTCTGGGCTGATTCCTCACCGTTCTCATGATCATTGCAACTCCGCGAGGTGAGATCTTGCATGGAGCCCCAGGCCGAGGGAGATTGACAGTTCTTTTGTGTTTCTTCCATTTGCGAATAATCGCACCAACTGTTGTCACCTTCACACCAAGCTGCTTGCCGATGGTATTGTAGCCCATTCCAGCCTTGTGTAGGTCTACAATCTTGTCCCTGACATCCTTGGAGAGCTCTTTAGTCTTGGCCATGGTGGAGAGTTTGGAATCTGATTGATTGATTGCTTCTGTTGACAGGTGTCTTTTATACAGGTGACAAACTGAGATTAGGAGCATTCCCTTTAAGAGTGTGCTCCTAATCTCAGCTCGTTACCTGTATAAAAGACACCTGGGAGCCAGAAATCTTTCTGATTGAGAGGGGGTCAAATACTTATTTCCCTAATTAAAATGCAAATCAATTTATAACATTTTTGACATGCGTTTTTCTGGATTTTTTTGTTGTTATTCTGTCTCTCACTGTTCAAATAAACCTACCATTAAAATTATAGACTGATAATTTCTTTGTCAGTGGGCAAACATACAAAATCAGCAGGGGATCAAATACTTTTTTCCCCTCACTGTATACAGTGTATATCCAAACTTAAGAATGTGATTACTAAGTTCAGTGTCTCCCTTATCTATTTTTGTTACCTTTTTTATTACTCCTTTCAATTAAATCAACTATTCTTCAACTCCCCCCTTTTCTCCATATCTCCTCCTCTCCTCCACCCCTCTCTGCCTTGTTCACAGTGGACTCCTGAGGGGAGGCGACTTGTCACCGGAGCCTCCAGTGGGGAGTTCACCTTGTGGAACGGACTCACCTTCAACTTTGAGACCATCTTACAGGTAAACATTGAATCCACCCTTTTACAACACTTTACAATTAACTTAAAACTTCTGAAATGTGTATTCAGCAGTTCTGAACCACATGAAATCGGTATATCCACTGTCTTTAAAAATTTTTATCCAACCCTGTGTTTTTGGTTCTGGTGCTCGCTCTGTCTGTCTCTCCTCCCCTCAGGCCCATGACAGCCCTGTGCGGGCCATGACCTGGTCTCACAACGACATGTGGATGTTGACAGCCGACCACGGCGGCTACGTCAAATACTGGCAGTCCAACATGAACAACGTCAAGATGTTCCAGGCTCACAAGGAGGCGATTAGAGAGGCCAGGTCTATATCCAATCTACCATTTTTTGTAGTTAACCCCAGACTGTTACTGCTGTTTCCCCCAATAATGATTAATAGATGTACGTGTGTGCTTTCACGACACTGCACTGATCTCTTTTTGATATTCTTATTATTGTCATTATCATTGCCTGTGGCTCACGATGAGTTGTGTATCTGGATTTTTTTCTATACATAACTACTATGTACAGAAAAGGTAGATTTTCACGGTCTTGTTAAATAAAGTGTTTATCTATATCCATACGCAAAAGGGATTGACACATGTTAATGCTATTGGTTTACACAGATAGGCCCAGAGGGACAGAGTGTATACAGAATGAAGTGGAGTGGTTGCACCTGACGTTACTGCATACATAGGGAGTTTCGAATGTGGCCAACTTGTTCTTCGTTTATGGACCTTGGGGAAGGCGTCTCACACGCATAGGGTCACTCCACACCAGGGTTTCCGCTACCCAGTAATAGTTTTTGGCAACAAAAAAAATAATCCAAGCCGATAAATAAAATTGCCGCCAGCCAATTTTCCGGGAGAAGAAGAAGAAATACCTTTGCGGGATAATGCCCTTTAACCTATTCATTGATGGAAATAGATTTGACTGGTCATGCTTATCAGTCTATAGGTTAATTTGCATATTTTAGTGGAATTCGATTGGTGCGCGTGTACAGTATATTCGTTATGCATCTTATTTATCACACGCGTACACCATACAGATACAGAACCTTTAAGTGGAAAATCTGTCAGACGGCACGAGAGCTGCTGCTACAGCATCTCAAACAGCAAATGCATAGACAACGGAAGGCAGGCTTCATCAGAGCTTCACACACCACTTTGCAATGAGCTGGAGGCAGTAAGAAAGACATCACATCGTTGCATCCTTGACTTGCATGTTCTGTTAATATGAATCACCATAATCTAAATGTGATTTGTCATTCTGAGCACCGTGGGTGGACACCCTAATCAGGTTACGCACCCAATGCATATGGGTCAGGTACATTTCTCAAATGTCCTGTAAATTAAAATGCCACCGGAAACCCTGGTCCACACACATACTTCACAAAGGTCCCATGGTTGATTTGAAGGTTTTTGAGGTGTAAGCAAACGCATGTCTACAATCCCCCACCTTTTGAAACCACTAAAATTGCCACCCCACATTGTCTGCTGTTGAATCTATCCTAGTGACAAAACCCACATCCACACGTGACCCCATAGCTTTTGAATAAAGACTATTTCTGCCAAAAACACAACCAAATTGCCTCTGGGGTTAGAGCAGTTGGCTATCAACTTTCAATTCCCACGCAACCCACAAGGTCGCTTTGACTATCCACCATCCCAAACCCCCTGGTATATTGACAGTTAAATCTACATTGAATGGGGCGGTGCAGTTGAGAGGGATTTATTGCATAAAAAGTTGCCTTTGCTGTATATTTCTACCTTTGGTGGTTTTGCCTTCATGGAGCTTTACGAAAATAATCAATAAAGATTGTGAATAGGGTTTTATGCTGGATTTCCCTCTGAAGTATAACACAAAACTTAAAGTTTCAGTTTTTAATATATAACTTCTCAATGCCATAACTTATTTTCTTTGAATGTTGATGTTTCTGAGATACTTTTAATGTTGTTGTTGAACGTGCATTGAATCTCCAGGACCAATGGAAAATAAATAATCTTAGGGCTGTGGCCATAGTCCTGGAAAAATTGTACATCATACATGCATTGATGGATGTGCTCCAAACCTGAAGATGGCAATTAAGGAACTAGTCAAGAAGTTCAACAGGTGTTTGTTAGCAGGGCCATGTAGGCTATCTTTGGTGTTGGTATAAGTCAGGTTTCTGCGGGGTCACGAGGGCTATAGTACATTGGCCTAATACCTCACTTTATCACCATGCTGCAACTGTTGCTCCAACTACAGATGGAGCCACATTATCTGTTTGACTGACAGGACTTCACGACCTCATGACGCTGTAAAAGGGACACAACATTTGAAAATCTATTTCTCTGATGTTTTCAGACATAAGCCTAAACTCTGCAAATCTGGCAATGATATGGTGCCACAGCCACTGCCTATCATTTCCATTCTGTAAAGTGTATATATTGCTAGATCTACACAGTACACAACAGATCGCCTGGGACATACAGTTCAGCCACCAATTGTGCAAGTTCTCCCAGTTAAAAAGATGAGAGAGGCCTGTAATTTTCATCATAGGTACACGTCAACTATGACAGACAAATTGAGGAAAAACATCCAGAAAATCACATTGTAGGATCTTTTATGAATTATTTGCAAATTATGGTGGAAAATAAGTATTTGGTCACCTACAGACAAGCAAGATTTCTGGCTCTCACAGACCTGTAACTTCTTCTTTAAGAGGCTCCTCTGTCCTCCACTCGTTACCTGTATTAATGGCACCTGTTTGAACTTGTTATCAGTATAAAAGACACCTGTCCACAACCTCAAACAGTCACACTCCAAACTCCACTATGGCCAAGACCAAAGAGCTGTCAAAGGACACCAGAAACAAAATTGTAGACCTGCACCAGGCTGGGAAGACTGAATCTGCAATAGGTAAGCAGCTTGGTTTGAAGAAATAAACTGTGGGAGCAATTATTAGGAAATGGAAGACATACAAGACCACTGATAATCTCCCTCGATCTGGGGCTCCACGCAAGATCTCACCCCGTGGGGTCAAAATGATCACAAGAACGGTGAGCAAAAATCCCAGAACCACACGGGGGGACCTAGTGAATGACCTGCAGAGAGCTGGGACCAAAGTAACAAAGCCTACCATCAGTAACACACTACGCCGCCAGGGACTCATATCCTGCAGTGCCAGACGTGTCCCCCTGCTTAAGCCAGTACATGTCCAGGCCCGTCTGAAGTTTGCTAGAGTGCATTTGGATGATCCAGAAGAGGATTGGGAGAATGTCATATGGTCAGATGAAACCAAAATATAACTTTTTGGTAAAAACTAAACTCGTCGTGTTTGGAGGACAAAGAATGCTGAGTTGCATCCAAAGAACACCATACCTACTGTGAAGCATGGGGGTGGAAACATCATGCTTTGGGGCTGTTTTTCTGCAAAGGGACCAGGACGATTGATCCGTGTAAAGGAAAGAATGAATGGGGCCATGTATCGTGAGATTTTGAGTGAAAACCTCCTTCCATCAGCAAGGGCATTGAAGATGAAACGTGGCTGGGTCTTTCAGCATGACAATGATCCCAAACACACCGCCCGGGCAACGAAGGAGTGGCTTCGTAAGAAGCATTTCAAGGTCCTGGAGTGGCCTAGCCAGTCTCCAGATCTCAACAACCCCATAGAAAATCTTTGGAGGGAGTTGAAAGTCCATGTTGCCCAGCGACAGCCCCAAAACATCACTGCTCTGGAGGAGATCTGCATGGAGGAATGGGCCAAAATACCAGCAACAGTGTGTGAAAACCTTGTGAAGACTTACAGAAAACGTTTGACCTGTGTCATTGCCAACAAAGGGTATATAACAAAGTATTGAGAAACTTTTGTTATTGACCAAATACTTATTTTCCACCATAATTTGCAAATACATTCATTAAAAATCCTACAATGTGATTTTCTGGAGAATTTTTTTTTCTCATTTTGTCTGTCATAGTTGACGTGTCCTATGATGAAAATTACAGGCCTCTCATCTTTTTAAGTGGGAGAACTTGCACAATTGGTGGCTGACTAAATACTTTTTTTCCCCACTGTATCTCAACAAATATTAAGGCTCTATCTGTAATCTAACCCGAGACATCCTAGTTACATTTTGGTTGCTCCCTTTCACCTAGCCCCCTTTGCACAAATCTGATTAGATCATGCATTATGGCCAACATTTCACTAGGCCTATTGGAGGGCATGGCAGAGCCTTCGCCATATTGCGTTCACTATTCTGATCACCTCAGTCTAAACACTGAAGGGAATAGGGCAGGTGGGTAGGACCGCAATGGGACTGGGCAAGAGTTGTTGAAGAGCATGAATGGCTGGCAGATATTTTGCATTTTGATAAGAAGGGCAGGTTAGGATTTAGTTCAGAATTTTGACTGATTTAGTGATGATAGATATTTTTTGTTGTTGCTGGATTGCTTACCTGTTGCTTTAGTGTAGGGTCATTACACTTGTAGGTATTGGTCATTTGCGGTGGAGTTCAGACGGTAATGCTTGTGTAAACTGAGGAAGATTCATTTAACTTGGGCTTACGTCTAGTGTGAAGATTGCTTTTGGCTTACAGTTTAGACCTATCTGAGTGTAGTTTGTTTTTTATGGTTATACAGGTTGATAAGTGTTACGTTTTGGGTAGATACGTTGTAGTGTAATGATGTAACGTGTTAGTTGTGGGGCAACACTGTTTTGTCTGGGTTTCTATCACTGGTCAGCTAAACCTTTTGTGAATTTTGTTAAATGCCAATACACAGCTAGAGGGAGAGGTTGCTGATGTGCCCAGGAAATGGCCCCCATAAGTGGTTGAACTGTACTGGGTTGTACTAGGATTTGACCCTGGGAGCCCAACTGTGTCTTCCTGCATTGTTGATTCTCTTCCTGCCTCACTCTGTCTTCAGTTTCTCACCTACGGATAATAAATTTGCCACTTGCTCTGACGACGGAACCGTACGCATCTGGGACTTTCTACGCTGTTACGAGGAGAGAATTCTCAGAGGTATGTTCTGTTGAATACACATACAGCTGTACCAAATTGATACACCTCACTGGACACCACGACTCGCCCCTGGAAAAACACATTCACACAGACACTTTTAGGGGATTGCACCGCAACATGTTCCTTTTCTGTACCCATAAGTCAGAACCATCCATGAAATGCACAACTCATTTGGCAAATTTGTTCATTGATTGTATCTATGGACCTCAACTGATACTGCCTTTAAATGCATCAGTTGCTAGTTGTTGATTAGTCCTTACTCACGTATATTTATTCACTGTCTGTTGGCCCTTTTGCTATTGCCATGCTTGAGGCTGCATTTAAATATTCAATACTAATTACAGTACCAGTCAAAAGCTTGGACACCTACTCAGTCAAGGGTTTTTCTTTATTTTGACTATTTTCTACATTGTAGAATAATAGTGAAGACATCAAAACTATGAAATAACACATGGAATCATGTAGTAACGAAAAAAGTGTTAAACAAATCAAAATAGATTTGAGATTCTTCAAAGTAGCCACCCTTTGCCTTGACAGCTTTGCACACTCTTGGCATTCTCTCAACCAGCTTCATGAGGTAGTCACCTGGAATGCATTTAAATTAACAGGTGTGCCATGTTAAAAGTGAATTTGTGGAATTTCTTTCCTTAAACAGGTGGGGGGGTATACCGAAGATAGCCCTATTTGGTAAAAGACAAAGTCTATATTATGGCAAGAACAGCTCAAATAAGCAAAGAGAAACAACAGTCCATCATTACTTTAAGACATGAAGGTCAGTCAATCCTGACAATTTCAAGAACTTTGAAAGTTTCTTCAAGTGCAGTCGCAAAAACCATCAAGCGCTATGATGAAACTCGCTCTCATGTGGACCGCCACAGGAATGGAAGACCCAGAGTTACCTCTGCTGCAGAGGATAAGTTCAAGATTGCAGCCCAAATAAATGCTTCACAGAGTTCAAGGAACAGACACATCTCAACATCAACTGTTCAGAGGAGACTGCGTGAATCAGGCCTTCATGGTCGAATTGCTGCAAAGAAACTTCTACTAAAGGACACCAATAATAAGAAGAGACTTGCTTGGGACAAGAAACACAAGCAATGGACATTAGACCGGTGGAAATCTGTTCTTTGGTATGATGAGTCCAAATTTGAGATTTTTGGTTCCAACCGCCATGTCTTTGTGAGACGCAGAGTAGGAGAACGGATGATCTCCGCATGTGTGGGTCCCACCGTGAAGCATGGAGGAGGAGGAGGTGTGATGGTGTGGGGGTGCTTTGCTGGTGACACTGTCAATGATTTATTTAGAATTCAAGGCACACTTAACCAGCATGGCTACCACCAGCATTCTGCAGCGATACGCCATCCCATCTGGTTTGCGCTTAGTGGGACTATCATTTGTTTTTCAACAGGACAATGACCCAAAACACACCTCCAGGCTGTGTAAGGGCTATTTGACCAAAAAGGAGAGTGATGGAGTGCTGCATCAGATGACCTGGCCTCTACAATCACCCGACCTCAACCCAGTTGAGATGGTTTGGGATGAGTTGGAGTGAAGGAAAAGCAGCCAACAAGTGCTCAGCATATGTGGGAACTACTTCAAGACTGTTGGAAAAGCATTCCTCATGAAGCTGGTTGAGAGAATGCAAAGAGTGTGCAAAGCTGTCATCAAGGCAAAGGGTGGCTACTTTGAAAAATCTAAAATATATTTTGATTTGTTTAACACTTTTTTGGTTACTACATGATTCCATATGTGTTATTTCATAGTTTTGATTATTCTACGATGTAGAAAATAGTCAAAATAAAGAAAAACCCTTGAATGAGTAGGTGTGACAACTTTTGACTGGTACTGTACATTAGCGGTGGTTGTTGTAATTAGATTTAATTTTGTTAATATCCAATTGATTATCAATTAACAATGTTTTTTAAATAGTCAAAACCTTGGTGAATGTATACTGTAGGTAGGCCTATCCCAACACCAACTAGTCACGTTGCACGAGCATTTACTTTTAATTGCATAGGTTTTCTTTATATAACATTTAGCTATAAAGGCTAATGCTAGTTCATAGCTATGTGCTCGATTTTATACACCTGTCAGCAACCGGTGTGGCTGAAATAGCCGAATCCACTCATTTGAAGGGGTGTCCACATACTTTTGTATATATAGTGTATATTCACAGGAACTGGTTTCAGTGCCCGTTGTTGTATATTAGTACATTATAAGAGTACACAGTTTGGTGTGTTCTTTTCTGTAGAGTGTGTGTGTCTATCTGTCTGTCTGAAGGCAGGATCTTGATGGTTCAGCATGATTCACAGTTAGTCACAGTATGATCGATCAAGTCTTTGCCGTATAAACACCCTAGTCAGGAAAAACCCATTCCTCTTTGATTGCATGGTTTAATTTGTTTTAATAAAAGCTTGGAAGGGATTGGGGGTGTCATTGTAGAGCATATTGGCTAGCCACGCGAGTTGCCTGATCTCTCATGTAAGCTCGCAAGATCAGGCGGCTAGCAAGGCTACATATTTGCATCCTTGTGCGAATTGAATAAAATTGTTCCTGCCAAGCATGAATAAAGTAAACACCTTGTTTGCTAGTATTATGTTCATATGTTTACAGTTGCAGACAATTTTGAATACAAGTGAAGTTACATTGAACTATTCGCAGGCCATGCAGAAAGTTTGGCCTAATCTGCTAATTTCACAGATTCTATACTGTATGCAATGTCATTGTAGTTGACTTGTCTTTTGAGCCTTGCAATAAATTCCACTGAACAAAAATATGAACGCAATATATAAAGTGTTGGTCCCATGTTTCATGAGCTGAAATAAAAGATCCCAGAAATGTTCCATATGCACAAAAAGCTTATTTCTCTAAAATGTTATGCACAAATTTGTTTACATTCCTGTTAGTGAGCATTTCTCCTTTGCCAAGATAATCCATCCACCTGACAGATGTGGCATATCAAGAAGCTGATTAAACAGCATAATCATTACACAGGTGCACCTTGTGCTGGGGACAATAAAAGGCCACTCTAAAATGTGCAGTTTTGTCACACAACACAATGTCACAGATGTCTCAAGTTTTGAGGGAGCGTGCAATTGGCATGCTGACTGCAGGAATGTCTACCAGAGCTTTTGCCAGAGAATTGAATGTTAATTTCTCTACCATAATCCGCCTCCAACGTCATTTTAGAAAATGTAGCACTACGTTCAACTGGCCTCACAACCACAGACCACATGTAACCACGCCAGCCAAGGACCTCCACATCCGGCTTCTTCACCTGAGACCAGCCACCCGGACAGCTGATGAAACTGTGGGTTTGCACAACCAAAGAATTTCTGCACAAACTGTCAGAAACCGTCTCAGGGAAGCTCATTTGCGTGCTCGTTGTCCTCACCAGGGTCTTGACCTGACTGCAGTTTGGCATCGTAACTGACTTCAGTGGGAAAATGCTCACCTTCGATGGCCGCTGGCACACTGGAGAAGTTTCAACTGTACCGGGCAGACTGCATGTTGTGAACAGTGTCCCATGGTGGCGATGGGATTATGGTATGGGCATAAACTACGGACAACGAACACAATTGCTATTTATTGATGGCGATTTGAATGCACAGAGATACCCGTACGAGATTCTGAGGCCCATTGTCGTGCTATTCATCCGGCGCCATCACCTCATGTTTCAGCATGATAATGCATGGCCCCATGTCGCAAGAATCTGTACACAATTCCTGCAAGCTGAAAATGTCCCGGTTCTTCCATGGCCTGCATACGTACCAGACATGTCACCCATTGAGCATGTTTGGGATGCTCTGGATCGACGTGTACGACAGCGTGTTCCAGTTCCCGCCAATATCAAGCAACTTCGCACAGCCATTGAAGAGGAGAGGGGGTCAACATTCCACAGGCCACAATCAACAGCCGGATCAACTCAATGCAATGGAGATGTCGTGCTGCATGAGGCAAATGGTGGTCACACCAGATACTGACTGTTTTTCTGATCACACCCCTACTTTTCTTTTCTTGTTTTGGCCAACCGATGCATATCTGTTTTCCCGGTCATGTGAAATCCATAGATTTGGGCCTAATGAATTCATTTCAATTGACTGATTTCCTTATATGAACTGTAACTCCGTAAAATTGTTGCATGTTGTGTTTATATTTTTGTTCAGTGTAAATAAGCTTTACTGTGCTCGTTGAAGAACAATGCAGAACTGACCATTTACTTCAAACCAGTTTGGCTTGCTTTTGGTTTTTTGAGCCTTGCAATAAACTAAATAAACATTACTGTGCTCATTGAAGAATAAATGCAGAATTGAACTTTTAGATGAAACCAGTTTGCCAGTTTGGACACCCTCATATTTTGATATAACCTGATGCATTAGACTACCGTGGGTTGACAATGTTTTTTTCTTTTTCTTTTTGCTATTGAGAAGCCGTATATGAACCAAAACTAGAGATGTGCACGCTGTACTCAGATTTGTGCAGATTTTCCATTGATTAGTCTGTGTTGTCTTCAGTGAATTGACTTTCATTGATCACTACTATTTCACTTATTAGTTTTTTGTTTCCACTGTAAGTAATTGATTAGCTATGAGTTCACAATTTTCTTATTGAATTAATGTGCTTTTACAGCAGAGATGCCTAGCTGTACTTCTAGGGTAAATGTATATGGCACTATGCCTAGTGGTAAAAAAGAAAAAGAAAGATACAGCAGTTTTTAACTAAAATGCATTTTTTTTCCTGATCTTGTCTGGTGGAGTAAGGGAGGCACAAAGTATTTAATAGATTATCAGATACTCAACAAGAAGGTCTGATTTCATTATTACGGAAACAGGATCCAAGTGGTAAATATAAAGATCCAGTCCATTAAAAAGATTGGAGGAACCCTACACTTTAGTGTTGTGATGCAAAAATTATAGCAAAATGTATAGAGTTATTGGATATTATTAATCCTAATCAGACAGGTATTTTACATAATATAAGACAAGTACTGGAAACAATAGAATACTATGACAAATCTGGGAAACCAGGCCTGGTATTCATAGCTGACTTTGAAAACGTTTTTGATAAAGTACGATTGGAATTTATATATACAGTGGGGAGAACAAGTATTTGATACACTGCCGATTTTGCAGGTTTACCTACTTACAAAGCATGTAGAGGTCTGTAATTTTTATTATAGGTACACTTCAACTGTGAGAGACGGAATCTAAAACAAAAATCCAGAAAATCACTTTGTATGATTTTTAAGTAATTCATTTGCATTTTATTTTATTTTAGCGAAGATTTTTAAAGTAAGATGTTTACACGATCAGTCCAATCAAAGCTACTGTACATATAATGTGATTTGACGTCATTTTGTCTGTGGCCAATAACCTTGAGCCTTCTTGGAAGGGCACTTCTAATGTAGCTCTATGGCAGGACCCAAAGGGCTTGACTTTTCAATGTCTACCCTTACTAAGGACTTAGACTTGGCGGTGATGTAGTGTCCCCATGAGTGACAGAACACTGAGCCAATCACGGCGCAACGCTCCTATTTTCTGCTGGCTTGCCCAACCACCACAGAAAGCACTGAGCTAGGCTGAAACACCTGCATTTTGGAGCTGCCTTACTCAAGAAAACAAAAGAGAGACCATGTTTGAATGCAGGTTTATTAACTCAATGATATATATATATATTTTTTACATTGTTTGTAAACTGATATGTGACACGTATTAATGACCAAATAACATGCAAAACAGGAGCCTTTTTATTTTTTATTTTTATGGGGCTCAAAACAGGTGGGGCTACCTGCCCTGAATGACGGGTCTCCCCTGCATGCGCATAACGTTTAGAAAACAGGAACAAGTGTCCGGGGGACAGGGCGAACAGGACGCTAGGCCACTGAATTTTTCCCCTGTGGTATCGCGATACTACTTGGTATCGTGATACATGGGCTGGTATCGTATCGTTAGTCAAATGTTGGTATCATGACAACACTAGATGAAATGGCATTTTCAGATACCATCACATAATGAACTAGGTAGATGCTTAGTGTAGAAATGTCACTCAGGTCAGTCATGTCACCAATGGTTCATACAGTAATTTATCTCCTATCACACACATTTACACATTGTTAAACCTTGTTGGTGTCTCTGGTCACCTTATCTTCATATCTTTTGTTATACTCACACACTCTCGCTCACACACTATATGTAATCTATGTGTAATTACTGTGAATTTTGTCTGTTACCACATCTACTGTTTTAATAATTAGGGGTTCATCAGCAAACTGGTGGAACGCTATTGTATTTGTCAGCGTTTATTATTATTATTTATTATTATACCAGATAACATGCAAATTCCTGTGAGATGGTGATGCCTAGGACAGCGCAACTTGGCATGATGGTAAAAGGCCAAAGGCCACACTCTCCCATGCAATGCCATGCCAATTGGCCACATGGTGGCGCTATAACAAGCGATTGAAAATGCTAACTTTGAAAGGTCAAGCCCCTCACCCTGTGTGACCTAGAGTCTTGAAATTTGGTACATAGATCCCTCTCCTCACAAGGAACACATTTGCCTCAAGAACGCATAAGGTCCGCCATGATGGATTTTCCGCCATTTTGAATTTTGTGAAAAACACTTAAAAAGCTACTCTGGCACCGAATGACCGATCTTCATGAAATTTGATATGTTGCATCTATGGACCAAGGTCTGTAAACTCACTACAATCCAGGCTAGTATGTCAAACAATATAGCTGCAACTGACCAATAAACATTCACGTGGGCGTGGTCTGTCACATTAATGCATATAAATCAGTCACGGATATTCGTATTATAACAAAAATTGGTACACATGCTCCAACACTGAAGACTCAACATATGCAAGCACATTTTTATATCTCTTCATCTGTTTGACTCAGTGATTAAATGTGGCACACATGCTCAAGGATGAGTCTAGCTAACCCCATTCATGCAAGCTTATTGGTTCCTAGCAGCCATATTGTTTCAGCTATAGTCTTGGAAAATAGTGTGTTTGAAGATGTGCATTCATAGATGCTATATACCAGATTTGGTGCCAATCGGTCTAGCGGTTCTGAAGAATACGTTTAAAATAGTCAACATCATTGAAAATGGTCCAAAATACATCAAAAGTATATTATATTGCATGATCTGTTTGATTTTGAGTTCTGATATTTGGCAAGCGTGATAAATAGCACAGAAGTAACTTGTCCTAGGGCAATGTGCCCAATTTCTCCTGATGGTGGCACAGTGGGCACACAGCTGAACCCTGGCAATGCTGCTTCCAGCTTTTATAATGTATATGCATTGGTACAAGACAGTATATTGCCCAAGTTTTATGTTTACACACCCTACAGTGAGTAAGGGTGGGATTGAGTGACTCCCCCTACACACACACACACACGCTGTATCTGTCACACACACCTGTAGTAGACCACACCACCTCTCAGATGCACATACAAGTTAACTATTGTATGTTTGTTCTGTCGTCCTTTTGCCTCTGACACACACACACACACACCCTTACACATATTAAATGTGTTCTTCCTCCACAGGTCACGGAGCTGACGTGAAGTGCGTGGACTGGCACCCCACTAAAGGCCTGGTGGTTTCCGGGAGCAAAGACAGCCAGCAGCCAATCAAATTCTGGGATCCCAAAAGCGGGCAGAGTTTGGCCACACTGTGAGTTTTACCCAGAGGCAGCAGAAGCAGCACACAGCTGGCATTAAGCACCCCATCCCCAAAACCCAGAGCCCCCTGAGAAATTATCGAACAAAATGTGTTACTTCTCGGTAACGATTAATGCTTTCTTGTTAAAATGACGTTGTAACCATGTAGTTTCTCAGTAGATTACAGATAGTAAAATGGTTAAATCTGTTTTAAAATGGTTAAGGCAACTTGGAGGACAGAAAGGAACTTATACCCTTTTTACACTACTGTGCCAAGCTGAACCGTACTGTGCTTGTTTGGATATTTGTCAGCAACTTGCTGGATGCACAACCAGGCCAGCTCAGCTTGCCTCAGCTTAGTAGTGTGTAAAAGGTATCAGTCCCTTACGCTCACTCTCCCCCCTCCCCCAAGTCACGCCCATAAGAACACGGTGATGGAGGTGAAGTGGAACCTGAATGGTAACTGGTTGCTGACAGCGTCCCGCGACCACCTGTGTAAGCTCTTTGACATCCGCAACCTCAAGGAGGAGCTGCAGGTGTTCCGGGGCCACAAGAAAGAGGCCACAGGTGTGTGTGAGAGAACCTGTATTTCTGCTTTGACTTGACTGATGTGACTTGGCCTATTCCATTCAGCACTTAGTGTAGTAAATGGCCTCTGATGTAGCTAGAGGAATATTATGATGCCAAATGTTTGGTTTATTTACACTGGTGTGTGTGCGCCTGTGTGCTTGATTATAGTTAGTGTTGCTATGGATTGTTTCTGCTATGTTCTGCTCTTTCAAGGATGTGAAAGTTCTCTATAATTCTTGCTGGTGGGCAGGGGAAACTCCTTGAGTTGAGAGACCACTTTATTTTTGTGGGGATCCTGAGTTTCGGATACATAATTTTTTTTCTTTACCTTTTATTTTGTCAGGGAGTCATACTGAGACCAAGGTCTCTTTTACACATGAGTTACAGAAATATACACATCAAATACAAAACGCAATAAGAAAAAAAGCACCATCATAAAAAAACACATTCATCAGTAAAAAGGTCCTCAATCAGGTTTCTGAATTGCCCTAGAGGCACCAAGACATCCAATTTAAGAGCATTGAAGATTGTTCCATAAATATGGTGCAAAAAAACTAAAAGCTGATATACATAACTCGGAGACAGATGGAATTTCAAGAGTTAACCATCCCTGAGAAATAATGTGTATGTTTGTGAAATATATGTGTTAAACCTCTTGTCTACAGCTGTAGCATGGCACCCTGTCCACGAGGGCCTGTTTGCCAGCGGAGGCTCGGACGGATCCCTCCTCTTCTGGAACGTAGGGTAAGAGTGACAGCTCAACCCTCCAACTGACACACAGGATGTAATTTCCTCTACCAATCATTGGCCAAAGGCTTGATTTCTTTGCATCAGTCATTTCAATGAACATAGTTCAAATGTATGATAGCAAGCATTAATCATGTGGAAGGGGGCAATGCTCATAAATATAGTCTGAATACCTCTGAACATGAATAATTCCTCCACAAAGCCTATATTAATGACATTATGCATGTTACAAATGACTGGGGTCATTACCATTTATGACCGTTTTCATGTCACGTCATGCTCTTATCTTGTATTTCTACTGTGCTTTCTGTCAGGGTGGAGAAGGAGGTGGGTGGTATGGAGATGGCCCATGAGGGCATGATCTGGAGCCTGGCGTGGCACCCACTTGGGCACATCCTCTGCTCTGGATCCAACGACCACACCAGGTAAGCTTACAAATACACAAGCCATAGAGGATCAAAAACATAGACATAACTCTCCACCCATACCAGAACAGGGAAGACAGGGAAGCTAGGCTACAAGGAATTGTTCATAAGGTTAATAGATGGGGTTGTAACAATTAACCGATATGGCTCGGAATCCTGTTCAAATGTTTAAGATACGAGTGCATCGGGACTCCAAACCAATCCAAATGTAGCATGTATCGGTCAGAAAATTCAAATGTTACGAACTGCCGGTTCACTAAATGTTTACTCTGATTTACTTTTTACCTTCTGAAAATGTCTCATCTTTTTGGGGATTGAACTGGTACGTCTACTCCTGCATGTAACTGCCAGGGTTTCCGTTGTTGAAGCACCTTTGGCAGCGATTACAGCCTCAAGCCTTTTTGGGTATGACGCTACAAGCTTGGCACACCTGTATTTGGGGAGTTTATCCCATTCTTCTCTGCAGATCCTCTCAAGCTCTGTCAGGTTGAATGGAGAGCGTCGCTGCACACCTATTTTCAGGTCTCTCCAGAGATGTTCGATCAGGTTCAAGTCCGGGCTCTGGCTGGGCCACTCAAGGACATTCAGAGACTTGTCCCGAAGCCACTCCTGCATTGTTTTGGCTGTGTGCTTAGGGTCGTTGTCCTGTTGGAAGGCGAACCTTCGCCCCAGTCTGAGAACCTGCTCCAGAGCGCTCAGGACTTCATCAAGGATCTCTCTGTACTTTGCTCCGTTCATCTTTCCCTTGATCCTGACTAGTCTCCCAGTCCCTGCTGCTGAAAAACATCCCCACAGCATGATGGTGCCAGGTTTCCTCCAGACGTGACGCTTGGCATTCAGGCCAAAGAGTTCAATTTTGGTTTCATCAGACCAAATAATCTTGTTTCTCATGGTCTGAGAGTCCTTTAGGTGCTTTTTGGCAAACTCCAAGCGGGCTGTCATGAGCCTTTTACTGAGGAGTGGCTTCCATCTGAGTGGCTTCCGTCTGGCCACTCTACCATAAAGGCCTGATTGGTGGAATGCTGCAGAGATGTTTGTCCTTCTGGAAGGTTCTCCCATCTCCACAGAATAACTCTGGAGCTCTGTCAGAGTGACGATCAGGTTCTTGGTCACCTCCCTGACCAAGGCCCTTCTCCCCCGATTGTTCAATTTGGCTGGGTCGCCAGCTCTAGGAAGAGTCTTGGTGGTTCCAAACTTCTTCCATTTAAGAATGATGGAGGCCACTGTATTCTTGGGGACCTTCAATGCTGCAGACATTTTTTGGTACCCTTCCCCAGATCTGTGCCGACACAATCCTGTCTCTGAGCTCTACTGACAATTCCTTCGACCTCATGGCTTGGTTTTTGCCCTGACATGCACTGTCAACTGTGGGGCCTTATATAGACAGGTGTGTGCCTTTCCAAATCATGTCCAATCAATTGAATTTACCACAGGTGGACTCCCAAGTTGTAGAAACATTTCAAGGATGATCAATGGAAACAGGGTGCACCTGAGCTCAAATTCGAGTCTCATAGCAAAGGGTCTGAATACTTATGTAAATAAGGTATTTCTGTTTTTTATTTGTAATAAATTAGCAAACATTTCTAAAAACCTGTTTTCGTTTTGTCATTATGGGGTATTGTGTGTAGATTGAGAATTTGTATTTTTTTTATCCATTTTAGAATAAGGCTGTAACGTAACAAAATGTGGAAAAAGTCAAGGGGTCTGAATACTTTCACTGTATGGAACTGCTTTCATCAGGTGTGCTGTCTAGAATGGAGTTTTCCCGCGAATTGCATTTTGGAAAATGTTTGAAAATAACTTTTTAATGGCTGCTTCATTACAGGAGTTGCATGTTCTGTTAATCTAAATGCGATTTCTGTCATTCACCCATTTATTATTCATTTAGAATGGAAAATAATTGTCTTTATGCAACAAATGTTAGTGCATCGAACCGCATCATATCGAACCAAATCGCATTGTTTCGTTCGTCTAATCACACCGAATCATTTCGAACTTAAACGTATCGTTCCTGTATTGTATCTAGAAGTGTATCGATTCATCTTGAAAAGGGAGAAGGTACACACCCCTATTGATAGACATTTCTCTCATATTTCTATTGTAACATTGTTTGATAACGACTCAGTTGCTTGAAGTAGGTTTTGGGTTTGATTTCCGCATTGGCTGCATACTGAATATATGTGTCATCTCAAATGTCTGGTCAGATGGGCTTTGAAGTGTTCCCTGCCTGATTTCTCTCCCTATCTCTCGCTTTCTTTCTCAGTAAATTCTGGACCAGGAATCGCCCAGGGGACAAGATGAGGGACAGATACAATCTGAATTTGTTACCAGGGATGTCAGAGGATGGAGTGGAATACGGTGTGTGTGTGTGTGTGTGTGTGTGTGTGTGTGTGTAAATATGTACGCTGTGTGTTTTAGTTTTTCTGTGGTGTGTGTGCACGTGAGTTGGCACGTGCAACCAGACAAGTTTGTCCAGTCAAGGTTACATGGTGTCACCATTTGACTTGTGGTTCTGGGTTTGTTTTCCAGATGATATGGAGCCAAACAGTTTAGCTGCCATTCCTGGCATGGGGATACCTGACCAGTTCAAAGCTGCCATGGAACAAGAGGCAAGCGGTGAGGACACCCATTCACACTTTACCCTACGCAAAGTCTCATCTAAGTCAAAGAAATGGTTTGGGGGGGGGGGGGGGGTGTAAAGGTGTAGTTTTGTAGGTGAATTAGCTCTAACAAAGGTAAAGCAATGGACTGTGACTTTTACAGTCTTTATAGTCCTAGCAATGTAATATACAGTAGGTGATGTTTGGTGGCTGCAAGGTTGGAGTGGTACTGGTGGACTATGGGTAATGTAGTTCGATTTTTCTCAAGGTAAAGAGACTGCATCCGAGGAGGAGATGAGCATCCCAGGTTTGGATTGGGGGATTGAGGAGATTTTACAGAAAGACCTGAAGAAAGTGCCACAGAAGAAGGTCCCCTACGCCAAACCCATCCCTGCCCAATTCCAACAGGTACCTTCAATTTTATAAACATTAATGTTGACGTCAAGAAAAAGTAGCAAGACATAAGTCTGTTGTGAGTAAATGTAGTATTTGCTCTGTGACATCTCTTAGTATCTCACTTCCTTTGTCTCCTTCCCCCTCTCCATCCTTAAGGCCTGGGCAGATAATAAGGTTCTTCTCATGCCCCCAGGAGGAGAGAAGAAGAAAATGGACGAGAAGACCAACACCAACCCGATGATGCTAGAGGTGAGAGGTTCGAGGCAAAGTGCCCACTTTGAAACAAACAAATACCTAAATGCGTGACAAAAGTGTGAAAGTGACAAAAATGGGTAACATGAAAGAGTGATTGCAAGAGAAATACATTTTAGGTCAATGGTCAACAACCCTAGTCCTGGACAGCAGCTACAGGCTTTTGTTTCAGCAAGTTGAATCGGGTGTCTTATTGCTGGGATGGAACAAAAGTCAGCACACCCAGTACCAGAGTTGTTGACCACTGTGACAGGTGTTGTACTGCTCATAGTCACGCAAGAAGTGAGAAACAGTAGAGATTGAAAATGCAGTATAGGTTGATTTAGCGACATATCTTATTTTCCCCAGCAAATGAAGATGGACCGTTTGAATCCGATGGACGGGAACATGCCTCCCCCAGGAGGCCCACAAGGACCCATGCCACCTTTCCCTGGCCAGGGAGGACCCATGCCCCCACCCCCTCAGGGCTTCCCCCAGTCTATGCCCCCTCAGCAGATGCCCCACATCATTGGCATGATGGGTCCTCCGGACCACCACGGGCCCCAGGGCATGCAGAGGCACCCCGGCCCCCACAGAAACATGGGCCCCCAGGGGCCTCACGGCATGCCTCCCGGACCCAGAGGGATGCAGGGGCCGCCCGGAAACATGCAGGGCCCCCCGTCGGTAGCAATGATGGGGCCCCCTCCTCGAGGCCAGGGGGGCATGATGGGCCCACAGGGACCCATGCAGGGAGTAGTGGGGATGGGGCCTCCCATGCAGAACCCTCCAAGGACACATTGCAACATGCCAGGCATGGGGGGCATGCCTGTGATGGGTAACATGCAGGGGCCACCCCCGGGTGGGATGCACAGACCACCGCAGGGTAACATGCAAGGACCCCCTGGCAACATGCAGGGCCCCCCTGGAAACATGCAAGGACCGCCAGGCAATATGCAGGGACTACCAGGCAACATGCAGGGGCCTCCGTCCTACATGCAGCACCAGGTGAGATTGTCAAACTAGCTGTCAAACCCCCCCAAAATGTGTTGGAAATATGAAGGCAGGCTCTCTTAATAAAAATGTGACAAGGTTTTGTTGAATCTTCAGAGGTAAAAATTCACCTGGGCTGGATAGTTCTGTGGCGGTCATTGTAGCAACATTGTGTCATTGGTTAGCCAACTTGCTAGCTACATTGAGGTAAAACTCATTAGTCAGTAAGGCCTTTTGTGTGCCTTTTTTGGGGCCTTTGTTTGTGTGCACCATGAAATTATCCAAGATAGTTCAATCCAATGCTTGTTGAAACTATTCGATAAGGGTTTTGTGGGAACCTGACTTAAGAATTAACTGAACAGTCACCAATTCTACCCAGCCCTTGAAACTCCAAACTATTGCTTGTTGTGAACGATATCTTCCAACATAATCCTCCTTGTCTTTCAAATGGTGCTGACATTATACAGATCTTTGACATGCAGAAAGAAGCCTGCTAGAAGAGGCTATTTGTAACTCTAGTATGCTTCCCTCGCTCCGCTCGCTCTCATGTGAGTAAAATAAAGTTATGGCTGGTAAAGCAGACTAAATCCTAAAAACAACATATCTCACAGGTGGGCCAAAACTCTGGACCCATGATGCATGGGATGGGGCAGCAAGGACCCAATGGCAAAGGTAGGAGAACCCAAATTCTCAGACCAGAGAAGATTTACTTTTCAAACACATATACTGTATTACAAAATACAGTTGATACCTACCGTCATAAACATTTAGGGCTGGTTTCCCAGACACAGATTAAGCCTAGTCCTGGACTAAAAGGGATTCTCAATGGAGATTCTCCAATGAAAGAGTTTTGTTTTATCTGACTTTCATTTCAGTGCCCTCTATGTTTTGACTAATTTTATTTCAGGATGTTAACGGCACTGTTGTCTATTGTTTGTCTGCATGTCGCCGATTCTCCCAAGGAGATACCCGAGGGCCTCCCAACCACCACATGGGTCCTCCACCTGGAGGCCAGGGCGGCTCTGGGGGCCCCGACCAGGGCTCCGGTTCTTACTGGGGAGACTCCGAGCAGGGGCGCCGCGGACCCTCAGACTTTAATGAGGGGGGCCAGGACTTCCACGGACGGAGAGAGGAGAGCTGCAGGCGAGGGTTCGGCCAGGACTACCAGGGAGGCCACAGAGGGGGAGGGCAAGGAGGAGAAGGGGGAAACTGGGGCTCTTCTGAGGAAAGATTTCCCCACGATGTGGGAGAGTTCCGAGGCCGCAGGGATGACAGGTTAGAAATACCTTGCTTTTCGTTTGTGACCTCTAATCTTGTGTCTCTACTTACGCCCTTGCCATCAGCCACTTCTACCGGCTCTCTAACCTGCATCTTTATACTTACTTGAAATCTCACCTAAGCGCTCATACAGTGTTTACATATACCTCTACACCTTAGTTAAATTCATCTATGATTTTCAAGAAGCAAACTTCATATTATTTTCGCTTTGGTCTTCCAACAACATGCGGAAGGAAACAGGGCAATAGCCGCTCTGAGACATTAATAGGCTATATCAGTAGCCTATATCCCCGGAATAGCGCCCGTCTCCCCTAATCTGCATCGGATGCGCTAGTAAGGTACTGCGTGCATTTAACCAAATCTTGCAGTTTGGTCCGGACTGCGTTCTCACCTGCAGCGAACTGCACCACGGTACGAATGGAATCGAACCAAGAACAACTTTTTTGAGCGAACCACGGTGCATTGTTTAGTGCACTCCCGAGTGCAGATAGTGTTCACACCAGTCCAGATGAACCGAACAAAGTGGGAAAACGCGCCAGAGTTCGGGAAAAACCGCTCCAAACCAATTTAGTGTGAAAGTCTCACCTCACCTACTTTTTACATAATTCTCATCTTGACCGCATCCTTTGACTTTCAAACCTACCTTTGCTCTGATCCCTTACTTACTATATTAAAGTCTCTATGGGTTGCTTCCGCCTCAAAACTCTGGGCCTATGTGTCAGGTATGATGGTTATGAGGGTCTAGGAGAGGCGTTTGACCAGAGGCAGAGAGACAGGCGGCCTCCACCGAGGCATGGCCAGGACTCATGACACGTGGGTCTAACTTTCCTACTAACTTGCCAACAAAATTTCCTACTAACTCACTTCCCTACCATCTCGCCAACAAATGTTTCTACCAACTTGCCACCTAGCTTTTCTACCAACTCGCCACCTAGCTTTTCTACCAACTCGCCACCTAGCTTTTCTACCAACTCGCCACCTAGCTTTTCTACCAACTCGCCACCTAGCTTTTCTACCAACTCGCCACCTAGCTTTCCTACCAACTCGCCGACCAACTTTTCTACCAACTCGCCAACAAGCTTTTCTACCAACTCTCACACATTAACTGTCCACCTAACTCGCAACCTATCTTTCCTACAAAATCGTCTACTAACCCGCCGACCAACTTTCCTATTAACTTTGTACAGTCTAAACCACTGTGAAATATATTTTCCATTACCAATCATATTGTATTTTAAGCTGTTTGAAGCTTTTGTACAAAACCGAAAGTAAAAGATGCAAAAACGAAACTCAAGAACGGGAAGCATAGAAATAGCGCACTTAGAACAGATCTACCAGTTCTTAGACTTGCTTTGAATGAGAATGACAGATCTATAATATATGATAGAATTTCTATGTGAATTTGGTTGGATCGCCCAAAAAGTTACATATTGCAGCTTTAAGAGAAGAGATAGAATGACATCAGTTAAATTGGTGAAAGAATTTCAACAAGTGTTTGGAACTCTTTGTGAATTGCAGTATGTCATTATTAATTGTTTTATCCTTGTTTAACAACTGACCCACAGATCTTCTTAAAGAATCTTGTAAGGCTTCAAGCTTCCTTTTAAAGAGGCATTTTCTCAGATATCTGCAATACAGGTATGATTGAAGAATGAAGCAGGTGTTAATCATGGGCTTTACAACATAGTAAGCAGCAGTTGACTACTCCGTTGTCAACACTTTGATTAAATCAGTAGACCTATATCAAGATCTTTGAAAATACCATGTAAGTATGATTAGCATTTAAAACAATTCAATCGGTTTTTTAAATCATATTTTGGACCAGAGTGACGCGATCGCTCCACTAAGCCTACGTATTGTTCCTGCAGTGAGGAGGGTTCACCATCTTCATAGAATGTTTTCATAATTTATCTGCAGATAATCGCCCAAAAACCTACCAGTTGCAAATTAGGGAGCCTAATGAACGGCTCTCTTACCGATGCGATTCGGTAGGCTACGAACGTCACTCACTTTAAGGTCACTGTCTGGCAAGTCCTGATGGACTTCATAACAAATATACAAACGAGATCTTTAGTTTACTTGTCCCGATGCGATACCATGGACATATAACTAAGTTGTATGATTTATGAACGGCAAGGATATGAGAGCCTTTATTCAATCAGTTCGACACCATTTATAAACTAGTCAAGCTCGCTGTTCGTCAATCAAATCACAGGAAGCCTATGTGCCAGCACTTCGTGGCTGCATATGAAACACGTGAAAGAAAATAAATAAATGTGCTAGAAAACAATAGGCTAAGTGGATGTCGACTCATCGTAAACACATATGGGACGTACAAATTGACTCACATAGACGATGAAGGAGCATCATGCGCTCTCCCTCCGTGTAAAGAAATTTGACTGAAACCACACCGTACACAACACACACCCAGGCAGTGGTGGAAAAGTACCCAATTGTCATACTTGAGTAAAAGTAAAGATGCCTTAATAGAAAATGACTGAAGTGAAAGTCACCCAGTAAAATACTACTTGAGTAAAAGTCAAGTATTTGGTTTAAAATATACTTAAGTATCAAAAGTAAAAGTATAAATCATTTCAATTTCGTTATATTAAGCAAACCAGACAACACAATTTCCATTTTTATTTTATTTACGGTTAGCTAGGGGCACACTACTACACTCAGACATAATTTACAAACAATGCATGTGTTTAGTGAGTCCCCCCAGATAAGAGGCAGTAGAGATGACCAGGGATGTTCTCTTGATAAGTGTGTGAATTGGACAATTTTCCTGTCCTGCCAAGCATTCAAAATGTAACGAGTACTTTTGGGTGTCAGGGAAAATGTATGGAGTAAAAAGTACATTATTTTCTTTAGGAATGTAGTGAAGTAAAAGTTGTCAAAAATATAAATAGTAAAGTAGAGAGACCCCCCAAAACTACTTAAGTAGTACTTTATTTTTACTGAAGTACTTTACACCACTGCACCCAGGTAATTGGCAGCGGGACAGACAGACTGTCAAACCAGCAGGGTTTCTCTGTCATCGCTCAGTTTGTGACTGACAGGCGCCTGTCCTTTCAATAGATCGCTAGAAGATGCATATCATTCATGCTAGCGGGAGAAGGCTCGGCTGACTTTTTTTTCTGACTTGCGAATTGAAAAGCAGCCTAGTTAATTCATATAGTTCATTCTAGTTCATTTAAGTGGAAAAAGTATGACAGCCGGCGCTAGTGGAAAACACTGTTATAACGCACCTGGGATTGAATCTCGGCCCAAGTCATCTTCTTAGTGGATGTTTCCTCTCATAACAGAAGCTGATGTGTTTTGTATCTTAGAAAGCAGTCATGTATTTTGACTAGCAGTTGCCATATCAAGCCTTGCACTACTGAGAGTAAGCAAAATCATATGTGATTTGTTTTCTAGCCTTTACTTAGTGTCCTGAGGTGTGAACCTCTCTTTTCCTGATATATAGGGTAAAGCATGGACAGTAGGGCATAGATGTTTCAAAGGGCCTGCTGTATCTCCACTCAAATGGGGTCCCTTTTCTGTGCAGGTACAGAGGGGGTGGACAGGGTCGCCCTGGGGGGAGGGGGTTCCCTGATGAGTTTGGCGTGCAGGAGGAGAACTTTGACGCCTCAAATGAGATGGGTGGAGGTTGGGACAACGGAGAGAGGGGGAGACCCCCCCGAGGAGGGGGCCCACCCAGAGGAGGAGGTAAGACCAGCTGAGTTTGTGTTGTCTTTGTCACTTTCCTTTTATGATCTATCTTGTTTGTATTTTTATGTCTGTCCATCAATCTATGGGTCTTTCGTCTGTCTGTCTTTATGTCTGTCCATCAATCTATGGGTCCTATCTTTCACTCATCCGTCGGTTGTTACCTCAGGAGGTGGTGGAGGTAGACGCCAGTGCTTGCTCCCCAACCCCGATGAGTTCCCCCCACACTATGAGGAAGGCAGACGTCAAGAGGCCTGGGAGGGAGGGCGAAATCAAGGTAAAGGGGATGTCTATCGAACAAGGGTAGTCTGTGACGGGACATTTTGGTTAGCGTGGCAGGCCAACAGCTCCCAATGGACAATGCTAATGCTAGGAAAGAATAGGATAGTAGGCTAACCCTTACAAAAATCATGGCTAGCAGCGGGTCAGAGCATCCCAAATCCAGGCTCTGTCGTAGCTGGCCGCGACCGGGAGACCCATGGGGCGGCGCACAATTGGCCCAGCGTCGTCCAGGGTAGGGGAGGGAATGGCCGGCAGGGATGTAGCTCAGTTGATAGAGCATGGCGTTTGCAACGCCAGGGTTGTGGGTTCGATTCCCACGGGGGTCCAGTATGAAGAAAAAATTAAAATAATAATAATAATAATAATGTATGCACTCACTAACTGTAAGTCGCTCTGGATAAGAGCGTCTGCTAAATGACGTAAATGTAATGTAATGGGTCAGTCTCCCTCCATGTAATGTACACATTTCAAGATGGTGAAAGGACTAAGCTACGTATACTGCAGCCCCAGATGATTTTTAGTGTGACAATACTGAGAATAAATGTAGGGTTTCATTTTGACAGCTGAGAAACAGGTTATAAAATAAATACTGCCAAATATTGTGAGTAATAGGGTCCGTTTTAGCCACATCTCCCCATAGAGCCCAGTGTTTAGGTTATTGTGTGTGTTTGGTCCCAGGTCACGAGGCTTACCGAGAGAATCAGCGCTCGGAGCATGGCCAACCGCACAATAGCCCGTCCCCTGCCAACCGCGAGCACTCCTCCTCCCTGCAGGGCTTGGACATGGCCTCACTGCCCCCACGTAAACGCCCGTGGCACGACGGCTCGGGCACCGGAGACCGAGACTCCCCGGGAGCAGGGGCAGAGGACAGGACAGCAGGTATGCAGGGGAGAGGGGATGGGGATGGGGATGGGGATGGGGATGGGGATGGGGATGGGGGGGGGGGTTGCTTGCGTATGTGTGTGACAGAGCTGGAGGAGTGTGTATGTGTTTGGCAATCACTGATGCGAAGGCTGTGAGTCATGTGTCCATTACTTTGAACTACTAGCAGGGGTGAAAGTAAGGCAGTGCGATACGGTCCAGTCCGGCGTCCCGGCAAAATAAATAGTGAGGGTATGCCGTACCAGGAAATAATGAGCCTATCACAATAATTAAAACTAAATGTCAACACCACTTTTTATCATTACTGCATGACAGAGGCATCAAAAATAAGCGAATTGACTTGAAAACGGGTGGTATAGCCTACGCTCCAAAATGCGATGTGGTTCGACGAGAACCCTGACATTTTGCCAAGGCAGAGATGAGTGGCCGACACCGAGACGCGTGCAGACAGCAGTGAATGCATAAATTCTGACCTAATGACAATCGCCAAATGTCCTTACACTTTTTGGTGTTTTGTGTAACGGATGTCTCTTTCCATTCACTACTGTTTGGAGGCTGGAAATATGTTTGCGAATGGATGAACATGCCTGGGTAGCCTAGTAAAGGAGCCCTTTGAAGTGATTGTAAAGGTTGGTAGAGCATGTCGCTTGCAACGCCAGGGTTGTGGGTTCGATTCCCACGGGGGGCCAGTATGAAAAATGTATGCACTCACTAACTGTATGTCGTTCTGGATAAGAGCGTCTGCTAAATGACTAAAATGTCAAATGTAAATTGTTTGACAATCAGATAAACATAACGACTGGTTGTTTTAAACGCAACATGCAACAATTTCAAAGATTTACTGAGTTACTGTTCATATAAGGAAATCAGTCAATTGAAATAAATTCTTTAGGCCCTAATCTATGGATTTCACATGACTGGGAATGGATCAGAAAAACAGTTAGTATCTGGTATGACCACCATTTGCCTCATGCAGCGCGACACAGCTCCTTCGCATAGAGTTGATCAGGCTGTTGATTGTGGCCTGTGGAATGTTGTCCCACTCCTCTTCAATGGCTGTGCGAAGTTGATGGATATTGCCGGGAACTGGAACACGCTGTCGTACACGTCGATCCAGAGCATCCCAAACATGCTCAATGGGTGGTGACATTTCTGGTGAGTATGCAGACCATGGAAGAACTGGGACATTTTCAGCTTCTAGGAATTGTGTACAGATTCTTGCGACATGAGGTGATGTCATGGATTAATGGCACGACAAATGGGCCTCAGGATCTCATCACGGTATCTCTGTGCATTCAAATTGCCATCGATAAAATGCAATTGTGTTCGTTGTCCGTAGGTTATGCCTGCCCATATCATAACTCCACCGCCACAATGGGGCAATCTGTTCACAACATTGACATCAGCAAACCGCTCGCCTACATGACGCCATACATGCTGTCTGCCATCTGCCCAGTACAGTTGAAACCGGGATTCATCCGTGAAGAGCACACTTCTCCAGCGTGCCAGGGGCCATCGAAGGTGAGCATTTGCCCACTGAAGCCGGTTACAACGCTGAACTGCAGTCAGGTCAAAACCCTGGTGAGGACGACGAGCACGCAGATGAGCATCCCTGAGATGGTTTCTGACAGTTTGTGCAGAAATCCTTCGGTTGTGCAAACCCACAGTTTCATCAGCTGTCCGTGTGGCTAGTCTCAGATGATCCCACAGGTGAAGGTCCCTGGATGTGGAGGTCCTGGGCTGGCGTTGTTACACGTGGTCTGTAGTTGTGAGGCCAGTTGGACGTACTGCCAAATTCTCTAAAACAACGTTGGAGGTGGCTTATGGTAGAAAAATGTACATTCAATTCACCTGGCAACAGCTCTGGTGGATATTCCTGCAGTCAGCATGCCAATGGCACGCACCCTCAAAACTTGAGACATCTGTGGCATTGTGTTGTGTGACAAAACTGCACATTTTAGAGTCGACTTTTATTGTCCCGAGCACAAGGTGCACCTGTGTAATGATGCTGTTTAATCAGCTTCTTGATATGTCATACCTGTCAGGTGGGTGGATTATCTTGGCAAAGGAGAAATGCTCACTTACAGGGACGTAAACAAATTTGTGCACAAAACTTGAGAGAAAAGCTTTTTGTGCGTTTGAAAAAGTTTTGGGATTTTTTATTTCAGCTCATGAAACATGGGACCAACACTTTACATGTTGCGTTTATATATTTGTCCAGTGTATGTATATGTGTATATATATACAGTGGGGGGAAAAAGTATTTAGTCAGCCACCAATTGTGCAAGTTCTCCCACTTAAAAAGATGAGAGAGGCCTGTAATTTTCATCATAGGTACACGTCAACTATGACAGACAAATTGAGGGAAAAAAATCCAGAAAATCACATTGTAGGATTTTTTATGAATTTATTTGCAAATTATGGTGGAAAATAAGTATTTGGTCACCTACAAACAAGCAAGATTTCTGGCTCTCACAGACCTGTAACTTCTTATTTAAGAGGCTCCTCTGCCCTCCACTCGTTACCTGTATTAATGGCACCTGTTTGAACTTGTTATCAGTATAAAAGACACCTGTCCACAACCTCAAACAGTCACACTCCAAACTCCACTATGGCCAAGACCAAAGAGCTGTCAAAAGACACCAGAAACAAAATTGTAGACCTGCACCAGGCTGGGAAGACTGAATCTGCAATAGGTAAGCAGCTTGGTTTGAAGAAATAAACTGTGGGAGCAATTATTAGGAAATGGAAGACATACAAGACCACTGATAATCTCCCTCGATCTGGGGCTCCACGCAAGATCTCACCCCGTGGGGTCAAAATGATCACAAGAACGGTGAGCAAAAATCCCAGAACCACACGGGGGGACCTAGTGAATGACCTGCAGAGAGCTGGGACCAAAGTAACAAAGCCTACCATCAGTAACACACTACGCCGCCAGGGACTAAAATCCTGCAGTGCAAGACGTGTCCCCCTGCTTAAGCCAGTACATGTCCAGGCCCGTCTGAAGTTTGCTAGAGTGCATTTGGATGATCCAGAAGAGGATTGGGAGAATGTCATATGGTCAGATGAAACCAAAATAGAACTTTTTGGTAAAAACTCAACTTTTCGTGTTTGGAGGACAAAGAATGCTGAGTTGCATCCAAAGAACACCATACCTACTGTGAAGCACGGGGGTGGAAACATCATGCTTTGGGGCTGTTTTTCTGCAAAGGGACCAGGACGACTGATCCGTGTAAAGGAAAGAATGAATGGGGCCATGTATCGTGAGATTTTGAGTGAAAACCTCCTTCCATCAGCAAGGGCATTGAAGATGAAACGTGGCTGGGTCTTTCAGCATGACAATGATCCCAAACACACCGCCCGGGCAACGAAGGAGTGGCTTCGTAAGAAGCATTTCAAGGTCCTGGAGTGGCCTAGCCAGTCTCCAGATCTCAACCCCATAGAAAATCTTTGGAGGGAGTTGAAAGTCCGTGTTGCCCAGCGACAGCCCCAAAACATTTGTTATTGAACAAATACTTATTTTCCACCATCATTTGCAAATAAATTCATTAAATCCCGAAAATCACATTGTAGGATTTTTTTCTTTCTCATTTTGTCTGTCATAGTTGACGTGTACCTATGATGAAAATTATAGGCCTCTCATCTTTAAGTAGGAGAACTTGCACAATTGGTGGCTGACTAAATTCTTTTTTTCCCCACTGTGTGTGTGTATATATATATATATATATATATATATATATATATATATATATATAAAAATAACTCTATGATTAGGCCCATGCATACGCTTATAGGAGGTCCCATACCGGGAAAAAATTAATTATACTAGCCTGGCACACCAGGTCTTCTCTATTTGTCTTATATTGTCAGACTTCTATAATCTGTCTTTGCATTTCATTCTTCATTGGTATTAGGGTTAAAGTGATTTTATGTCCTGATTGGAAATTTAGCCCAACCCCAGTCTCTTGTCCTTCTGCTCTCTCCAGGCCGACCCCCCCAGAGAGAGGAAGGCGGCGGCAGAGGGATCTGGAGGGGAGCGCCACGTGGGGCCCCCAGAGGGGGAGGGCGTGGACAGTAGGAAGAACTCACTACCAACCTACCTACCTACCCTCCCCCCCTCCCCCTCCCCCTCCCCATACCATACCTCCATGGCCCGACTGGGCAACAAGGACGAACTGCAAAGAGGACAGGGACCAAAAAAAGAGACACAGACCCACAGCCGGCACCTCCCGTCCCACAGATCAGTGGATCAGTTCTGGGCTCAGACCACCTCTTCAGGCCTGTTTGGAAGGCTGGAGCATGGATTATTTACTGTGTGTATCGGGGCCTCTATGGAGAGGATAAGGTCCTTCATTACTGCATGTGTCGGAAGCCTCAGGTCTCTCACTACAGGATGGACAAGTGGCCTTCTTTACATTTTGGATCCTTTCAATGATAGGCTCTGCCCGTGGCTGTTTGCCACACTCATTCTGATTGGTCGCCGCAGGTGTTGTCTGGTGGCCTGATTGGTCACAGGGAGGGTATGACAAGCTGGAGCAGTCCCTAATTGGTTGAGGTTTTTGTTCCAAGTTCAGACGCGGGTCACATAGCAGAATGGTTTTTGTCAGTGTGGTTTGAACAAAACAGGCAACAAACCTGGGGGTTTATTCAGGAGGGTGCAACGTTTAGAACATTGCAGACAGGCATTTATGGGATTCCTTATTCTGCATTAGGGAGAATTCTGTTCTCCTCAAAATATTTGTCTGAACGTTTTATAACGTGGCACCGTCCTGAATAAACCCCTGGAAACAGTTCATGTGATAATGTGAATGGTCCATTGTTTCTCTCTTCTACATGCACTGTCCCAATCAGACATAATAGAGAGGAGAGTCCAGGATCAACATTGAGCTTTGCAGATAGAAATACAATGCGCAGACCAGACAATTCTTTTTTTGTCAATTTTTTGTATGAGACTATAATAGAAATTTCTGCAAAATTTCACCCTCGTATCTGGTCTTTTTCTTTGGGCTCCTGTGCAATGACTGACTGGGGGGAAAAACTGCATACTTGTACACACTTAGCCTGGTCCCAGACCTGTTTGTGCTGTCTTGCCAACTCCTTTGGTCATGTTTGGAGTGACAATGACCATAGGAGGCAAGACATTACAAACACATCTGGGACCAGGCTAGTAGTATGCAATGGCATTCGGTAGGCCAATGTTAAGCGGTTAATTTAGTGCCCATGTCATCACATTAACCATTATTTCATAGACACCGTTAACAAGACACCGTTGCAGGCTACTATGACTCGTAAGCATATTCCCAATATCAAGGTGGCAGGTAGCCTAGCGCTTAAGAGTGTTGGGCCAGTAACCGAAAGGTCACTGGTTTGAATCCCCGAGCCCGACTAGGTGAAAAATCAGTTGATGTGCCCTTGAGCAAGGCACTTAACCCTAATTGCTCCTGTAATTCACTCTGCTCAATGACTAAAATGTTAGGAAGGGCTAGGGCTAGGCCTATGCCTATATTACACCAGAACCGAAGACCATACATAGCCTAATCTCCGACGTGGGAAAAGGCTATATCATGGACTGTTCTGATAAGGAAATCACCGAGCAGTAGGATTGGGCGGAATCCAGATTTTCATACCTTAATACCATTCCTGTACCATACCGGGGTATACGGTATTACCAGCAGTGCACACATGGGGCGCAATTTCTTTACAAATGTTTTTGGTTTTTATGCTAAAAAAGTACTAGATAATTCCCATAGCAGACGCTAGGTAAATGCTAACAAGCGCAAACGAACAAACTAAATGTAAGGACAAACAATTCAGCTCATAAAGTTATAAATGTACAACTCTCTCAAAAGGCTACTCACACTTGATCTAGAAGGGGATTGATTGTCTCTGCTGTAACCAAGAAGCTTGATCTAGCAAGTTAGCAAACAAAATGCATAGCTGGAGAAATGTATTTGGCACATCTTAGATAGTTATAGTTAAGATATTTACCTGGCACAGTGGGTAGTGAATTTCAAGTGTAACTTGATCACCTCTCTTGTGCTGCTCAACAGTGGATCGTCACGAAACTTCCGTATGTTCTTTGTAAACAAACATACTATGTGACTGGTGCAATATATTGAAAACCATACTGTCGGTATTTCAAAATACCCAAGCCTACCAAGCAGTGCCCAGAAATAATGAAATCCAATTGTTAGACACTACCACCCACCTCAAAATCAAAACCAAACATGGATGTTAATATTTGCGCACACACGCTCTGTTCTACTCCGAGATAGAGGACTCATCTTTATATCTGTGCCAAAGTAGCGTCTTGTGACAGCAGAGGCAGTGCCATTGAGGCTACAACCCATAGGAATCCCCACCCAGTTGACTACTTTAAAATCACGGAAGCATGGTGGAAGCCCTCCAATGGCAATGTCCATGCTAAAATGGGTTATCATTATATTGATAAGATAGTCAAGTGACTGCTCTAACAATGGAAATACGTCCTCAAAAGATGGCAGGCAGGCGGGAGGAGGCAAGATCAGGCGGGACCATTCTAGCCAATGACGGGGTAGATACGCGTGTGAACAATAGGCCATAGAGATAAATAAGAGGACTCATCGTTGTATCTGTGCCATTATAGCGTCTGTGACAGCATGGGCAGTGCCATTGAAGCCATCTCCATTTTAAAGTAGTAAATGTTCTTATTCATAGGCTGATTGCTCCCAACTCATAGGAATCCCCACCCAGTTTCCTTTAAAATGGTGGAAGCCCTCAGATTGCGGTTACATGCACACAATGCGATTATTGTGGATAGTCAGATTAATATAATAGTTTGGTTAACGATTTCCCTAATAATCCTGTTTACTTGGACACATCTGAAATCAGGCTACCTGATGGCACTGAAATGCTGAAAATCGGCAATCAAAATAAACGTTCTACCACAGCGAGCATGTTATTTATGGCAAGCATATTTTATTCGGAGTTCAGACAAAGTTTGTATGTGAAAACTACTTCTAAGACGCATACATTGTTATTACGAACACACTTCACTCGCGCTAAATAAGGAGGCTTTCTGGGCTGGTGCTAGCACATGCGCAAATCAAATACACCTCTGGAACACCGATTATGGTGTTTACATGTCCTAATAATTCGAAGGATTGCTCAGAAAACCAGGTTTCAATCGGCATACGCTTACTTCGATTTTAACGTTACGCCGATAAAGATAGAGTAAGGTGTTTACATGACTATTGTAAAATCTGCCTACTGCCATAATCAGTTTAAAGTTAATTATTAGTGTGCATGTAAAAGTACTCTTTGGCATGCTAAAACAGGTTTTATAAACTGGGTGGTTCGAGCCCTGAATGTTGGTTGGCTGAAAGCCGTGGTGTATCAGGGTATAATAATAAGAATATGCCATTTAGCAGATGACAAAACATTTCTTGTTACTGCTCTAATTACGTTGGCAACCAGTTTATAATAGCAATAAGGCACCTAGGGGGTTTGTGGTATATGGCCAATATACCACAACTAAGGGCTGTATCCAGGCACTCTGCGTTGCGCATAAGAACAGCCCTTAGCCGTGGTATATTGAACATATACCACAAACCCCCTAAGTGCCTTATTGCTATTATAAACTGGTTACCAACGTAATTAGAGCAGTAACAAGAAATGTTTTGTCATACCCTGATATACCACGGCTTTCAGCCAACCAGCATTCAGGGCTCGAACCACCCAGTTTATAAAACGCCCTTGTGCCTTATTGCTTAAATATCCATGAGTCCTCCATTTCTGACAACAGGCACAACTTCTTATTTTACTAAGTTTACGAAATTTCATGTGCGTCCACTTCTCAGTGCATTTGTAACAACCTAGCCATTACGAAACTTATATTCGATCTAATAAGCCACATAGCAAATTAGCAATTACATTTTTTGTTGACCAAATTCGACACTCATTGACCTCAATACAAAAATTCCTCACTTCGTAGGCTTATTTTTGTGGACAGATTTTGGGCTGAGTAAACCCGCTTGCTTCACCTCATCTCTGGTTATATCCATGATAAGTATGTCTCTATGGTTCTACTTCCCGTCTGCTGCAGCATGTTGGCCAATTGCGAGGCCGATTATCTAGACAAACCGGTGTGAAAGACTGGTGTGTGAGCTAAACAAGATGCAACATGGAATCCATGTTTGGTTTTGATTTGGAGGGGGGGTGGTAGCATCTAACAAGTGGATGTAATTCTTTCCCGGGCACAGCTTGGCGATGCAAACAACGTTTTCCTTATCAGAACTGTCCAACGACCACAGATATGCCAAACAGGCACAGGTACGAGTCAGCAAATATCTCGCAAGGTGGCTGGCTAAATGTTACACAATTAGGCCATAGCTGTATACAGCTTACCCGAACCTGGGCTTGAACCAGGGACCTTCTGCACACATCGACAACAGTCACCCTCGAAGAATCGTTACCTATCGCTCCATAAAACCCACAGCTCTTGGAGAGCAAGGGAGACTACTGGTCTGAGCGAGTGACGTCACCGATTGAAATGCCACTAGTACGCTCTGCTAACTAGCCTGCCATTTCACACCGGTTACACCTGATGCTATTAAATTGTGCCTGCAGTGCACCTCAAGTATTTCATCCACACTAGGCCAATGTTCTATGCGTTGGTTCGAGGACAGAAAAAAAAACATCCAATGATAACATTACTGCAGTACATTTTATTTGTCAAACATTACTGGGGGGGAAAATAGTTTTCAGTTGGTCTGTTTTTTCACTTTACCCCTACCTATATGTACATAGCTACCTAAATTACCTTGTACCCGTGCACATCAACTCGGTACTGGTACGCCCTGTATATAGCCATGTTATTTGAACTCTTATTGTAATTCGTTCATTAAGTATTTATTCCTTGTGTCACTACTTATATTGTATCTTTAACTCCACAATGTTGGAAAAGGACCCATAATTAAGCATTTCACTGTAAATCTAAACCTGTTTACGAAGCATGTGACACATAAAATGTGATTTGTTCATGTGAGTATTCTCAGAGACATTAATATTGGGCTTGGTCCATCAGAAGTAAATTAAGAGAAGAAAAACAGGAATTACACCATTGTCGTCTAGTGCCAGTCATTATAACTTTTAGTTTTTCAACTTGTCCATTCCTGAATGTTTTGGTAGTATACAGGTGTGCACTTTTAACTAATCAGTCAGCCCTATTCACAACAGAGGGCAAAATACCATTAGGATTCATTGAAGTGGTGGTCAAATTGGCATCGTTTTACCCGTGACAGTCCTTTTGATAGCAGACGCTGCCATCCCTCCCATGAAGCGAATACCTGCGCTACCGCCTGGCAGCCAAGAGACGATGTACCCAACGATGATGGCAACCTGGAACAATGGCTCCGAGGGCGGTGAGTAGGGTGCTGTGAAGGCTGAGCGCTGCATAAAGTGTACCTCCAAGAGAGCACAGATACACCGCCGCGCTTGGAGTGGGCCTCGCTATGAGCTTGCTGGGTCCCCGCAGTATCGCTGCTCCCAGAATCGCGAAAAGAGAGCCGAGAGACCAGAGAAGGGCGAATTTGCGTGCATACAACAGCAACAAAGGTGCGTACATGGCGGACAGTCCAAAGCATAACGCCGAGAACGCAATACACACTCCGACAGCGACGAGTCGTTGCGAGCGACTCATCCCCGGTAAACATGGATCTGGCTCCGTAGACCACGGCCAGGAAAAGCCGCTGCCCGACGCTTTGCTCGTCGAACCTCCGCTGCGGCTGCTGGAACCAGAGAACGGGCTCGACCAGCTACCGAACCAGCTCCCAGCTATTGAGGGGGATTCATCGATGTCTATAGTCGTACTTGAGCTGGACTGAGATATTACCTTGGCACCGCCTTTAGACTGGGCCAGATATTCTTGAAGACTTCGATTTAATTCGGCCATTACTGTATGTTTGTCAACAAGTTTCTTCTGACTGTGTGAAGCTTTCTTCTTCTTTGGAGTTTAACGGTGGTTGGCATCCGTACGTTGCATTACCGCCCCCAATTGGACTATAATATATATCCATTATACTTTGTGATATATATATACACTACCAGGTAAAAGTTTGGACACAGCTAATCATTCAAAGGTTTTTCTTTATTTTTACTATTTTCTACATTGTAGAATAATAGTGAAGACATGAAAACTATTAAATAACACGTATGGAATCATGTAGTAACCAAAAAAGTGTTAAACAAATCAAAATATATTTTATGTTTGAGATTCTTCAAAGTAGCCACCCTTTGCCTTGACAGCTTTAAACACTATTGGTTACTACATGATTCCATATGTGTTAATTATAAGCAGGCCAGTCAAGTTCTTCCACACCGATCTCGACACCATTTCTGTATGGACCTTGTCATGCTTAAACAGGAAAGGGCCTTCCCCAATCTGTTGCCACAAAGTTGGAAGCACAGAATTGTCTAGAATGTCATTGTATGCTGTAGCGTTAAGATTTCCCTTCACTGGAACAGCCCCAGACCATTATTCCTCCTCCAGGCACTAGGCATTGGAGCAGGTAGCGTTCTCCTGGCATCTGCCAAACCGGTCCCGTTCTGTGAGCTTGTGTGGCCTACCACTTCGCGGTTGAGCCATTGTTGCTCCTAGACATTTCCACTTCACGATAACAGCACTTACAGTTGACCGGGGCAGCTTTCGTAGGGGATAAATTTGATGAACTGACTTGTTGGAAAGTTGGCATCCTATGACGGTGCCATGTTGAAAGTTGCTGAGCTCTTCAGTAAGGCCATTCTACTAACAATGTTTGTCTATGTAGATTGCATGGCTGTGTGCTCGATTTTATACACCTGTCAGCAACAGGTGTGGCTGAAATAGCCGAATTCACTAATTTGAAGGGTGTCCACATACTTTTGTATATATAGTGTATCACTCGTTGGCCTTATCCCTCTGTGCTGGCACCATAGATTGTATGGATAAAGACACCGATCACGTGACACCATTCATTCCTATGTGAAGTCTCAGTGGTGCATTAGAAGATCCGAAAGTGTCATTTATGCGTGTCTCCATCTTGCCACAGATAGAACAATGAGACAGATTTCACCAGATGTATAATGTGAAGCATCCGGTTGGCGTTTCCACTCACTACCAAATATGGTATCAAGAAGAAGCCCAATGGCCGACAGGGGGATAAGATGGAACTAGATGGATTTTGGCCGAAATTCAGCTAATTTACTCATCAATGAAACATTTGATCTCAATACAGTTTTCTGTTCCCAAAACTAGAATCTGTTACGAACAGATAGGACTAAGCTTTGTAGAATTTACCCTTTGCCAAAGTTTTAAAAAATTGCGTTGTTTAGAAGGAGTGCAAAGGCGAAATCAGTTTTGCACATTCACACTTCACAGAGTAGGCGCTCTCCAACGGAAATATGCAAATACATGCTAGAACGCCAATAGGATCTCGCTAACTCGTGCTTGGCTCTGCCCACCTCCTTGCTTGTTCTGCCCCCTATGGCTCATTTGTTCCCATTTGAAACGACAGGCTGTGGTCTATCTTGGTTTAGTTATAAAAAATACTTTGATATTGCTTCATGTAGGAGTTTTCGGAAACAATTTAGCTACTATAGGAAGTGATGTTGCAGGCAGCAACTAACATTCCATCACGTGGAGCGTAGTCCGGCTAACTGCCGTTAGTTTCCAGATTCCAAATATGATCAAAGGCTACACCGTAGTGCGCGAGGCAATGGCGCGAGTCTTGAGCCAAATTTATGCAGGAGTGAAACGTCGTTCAGTCTTCGCCACACTAGTGGGGGAAGAGAAGTTGCGTATCACCACCACTAGCGATATGGAAGGTAATTACTTACTTGTGTATATTGTTATTCAAAGCAAATTAAGGCTCTTGTTGTTTCAAAATGAAAAGTCAGTGTGTACTGCCATGGATCAAGGTAATTCATGATTTTGCCATTGTGTACATGAGAAAAAATTGCAAGGGGAGGACATAAATGGGACCTGTTTTCAGATCTTTACAGGGTTGACTATTAAATCAACTGGGTGTTTCTTTATGGGGTGGATTTTACAAGCATTGCAATGATGAAGGCTTACATGCGTCTTTCTATTTAAACTACAATCAATAAATAAGAACTCACAGACCAAAAGGGGGCAGAAGTATTCCTCAGTGATACTTTATTAAAGTATTTCACAATCGATACATTTTACAACAATTTAAATTACAGTGCTATTTATGAATTCCCATAGGAAAAATCCCATAGGATTCTCATTGGAAATATCTCATTGGATTCCCATTGTGAATTAGCATGAACAAATAAAAACCATGAGGTTTTAATGGGAGTCTCATTGGAATCCAATGGGTTTCCCATTGGAAATTAACAAAAATATCATTGGGGTTTCATAGGATTATCTCATATTCTCATTGGATGTTAATTAGTTATTCATTGGATTTTTAGTTGGTATTTCATGGGATTTATTTAACATTGCCATTGGATTAGAAAATATCATCTAGCACAAAAAAGACTACTTTTCTACCAAAAACGTCTTTACTAATACATTATTTTCATTTATTTTATTCTGCTTTTGGCTTCAGTAGTGTGACGACATCCTTTAGCTTGTAGGCCATGGCAGTCCATATTGAGGCCTTGTCCACCCCCTCAAAACATCTCTGGACATGAGCTGAAAGTAAAATAAAACACAAATATGAATAATTACATATCATTTTAATCATTTACAGTCACACTCTTCCGTTCATAATCAATGAAAGCAATGTTATAAAGGAGGTCTACATCAAAAATGAAATAAAAATATTATGTAACGATGTTAAGGCATGGCTAATTATATTCATACCAACAAGAGTGAGCACTTTGTTGCTTGACAAAGCTGGCTTTGCCACAGAATATTGAACAATGTTTTGATTTCCTGCCTGACACGGAGGACACAGCCATCTCCTCCCTGGCGAAGAGCTCCTCCATCAGGTCTCACGTCATCCTTTTGAAGCTGGTTTGGTTGATCAGTGACATGTTCTTGGCGACCTGAACACTAAAGCCCAGATCAACCTAGAATTTAAGAGACAGATCACAGGTTGTTATTGTTTTCCATAAACTCATGAGCTCTATAGTGGTCTATTATATTAGTAACAGGACAGCTATGAAGTAGCTCTGGAAAAATGTTTGCATTGTCGCATTTTTTCATTGGGTTCAGTTAAGTTTCACATTACCAATGTGAACGAGCCATACTCTCAGAAACAAGCCATACTCTCTGAACAAATGTGATCGAACAAGTGCAATGATTATACTTACCAATTCCTATCTCTTTGAAACCTCTGGCATTTTGGTGACCATACACACCAGCTGCTCAGGTTTTTTGTTTTCAACTGATGTGCTTGCTTTGATGAAAATGCTTTGACAAAACAAACGTTGGATTATCAATTTTTTTAGGGATCACCACCTCTTGGTTGGTCTCCCACAAGCATAAGCAGCCTTCTGTTTTCTTTCTCCAGTCTTGTGGTGATGTTTTCCATTTTATCTAGTCTTCTCTCCAATCTTTCTACTCTGCTTTAGGTGGTCACTTTCAAGATTCTGAGGAGAAATAATTGAATAAATAGTATATTATTGTCCATTTGCTGATCATTTGTGTCTTTGCATCAAACACACAACTAACTCTTTTGAAAATCAAACAAAACTAAAAAACATTTTGAGATACAATTTTAGAGAACATTTTAGAGAGTGCTTACATTATGCCTTGGCAGTGATGTCAGCACCTCCATACAGCTGAAAGAAAAAGCTGAGTCTTGTAAATCATGTCATTCTAATTTAACATGTAATACAAAGGATAATACCAGTTTTTGACGTGTGGGTTCTTTATCACTCTTACTTTGATGGTAGTTTATTCTTAAAAATCAGCAAAACATGGATACCAATTTTCTTATCTAAAAACGGTTTTGAGGAATGAACTGCTATCAAAGTAAAAGTGGTTAAGCACCCACCCTACTGTGCACAGACATCAATTCAAAGTCTATTCGACATTGACAATACCACCGTCTTTAGACATCCCACCGGTTGAATCAACGCTGTTTCCACGTCATTAATTATGTGGAAACAGCGTTGATTCAACCAGTGGTATGTCAAAAGACTGGTATTGTCTTTTAAATACAGGGAGTTGGAAGTCTTGCAAGCTTCACCTTTTTCTTTCGTGGCTTCTTCTCCTCTTCATAATTTGAGGAGTTTTGGGATACTTTTTTTAATTTATCCCTTAATTCCTTGCCTTTCGCTCTTCCTCAAACCAATAATTCAGCTCTATCTCCTTCAGGACACTTTCCTTTTCTGTCATGAGGCAGACATAACTTGGTCAGGTTAGTTTCTTATTTCACACAAGGTTGCAAAGGGGTGGGAAATGTGTGTTTCAAAACCAATTTCTGCTTGTGATACTTTTATCTCTGAGCCTATCGCGGTCACAATCTATTTGGGCTATGCTTACCACTTGTAGCCAAAACTCTGGCATCATGTAGTGAGGTTTTCCCTGCTGTGACCCATTTGGCTACAAGTGGTAAGCATACATATTTTTCTGCAAAAATTGACGTGTTTTTATTGTGTAGCCACAAAACCAATGCCAACATCTAGATTAGAATGAAAATAAAATATAATAATGGTTAGAGAGGCAGACAAAGCAAAGAATGGCGACACGTTCTCAATGCTAGAGCCAACGTTCAATAAACAACTCTGTAGACGTCACTTAGCTAACTGTTGTGATGACAAAGTGGGTGGGGTTGTTAATATATGTGTGTGTGTGTGTGTGTGTGTATGTAGTTTACATAAACTTGTTTTTCAACCACTCCACAAGTCTGGTTCATCCTTGGGAGCAATT